TATATATATTATATAGGGTAATCAGATACTTCTTAAGATATAATAATTAATTTATGCTCTTGTTAAACCCTACAAAGGCACTACATATATTTATAAATGTATATACTCATCCCATCTTGACTGAACGTTGCTCCCTCTCCAATACTAATTATTAGCTTTTTGGAAATACGCGAGGGCGTTTTTTTAGTTATTTTTTGTATTTCAACTTGTCACGATGAAAACTATATGTATATTACAAAGGCACAACTTTTTTCTCCTTTGATTTACCCTTTTGTACATTACCCGTGGATCGTTTGTATTTTATGGGTAAAAATATTAAAAAAAAAAAAAAAAAGAAAAAGAAAAAAAAATTATTAATTTTCTCATTTCAGGTGGTTTTGGAACGTTCAAGGACAGGTATCCGGAGTGGTGCGAGGGAAGTCACAGTTGCACCGAGGGCCCAACAAACCCCGACACGAACGAGGGAGAGCTCATGGGTCTGAGATCACTTCGAATATCCACGCCGCCGACGAGGGCTTACTCGGACTCCGACAGCGACAGTACCTGCGATTCGATAGGTATATGTACACGTTATACACATACGTTATTTACCATTTTCATAAATATACTTATACACGCGAACGATTTTAATATATAAATTTGACGTGTAATATCTACAGGTCCGGAGGAGGACAAGGACTTTCCGGTGGAGATACTGCCTCACCTGTACCTCGGTAACGCCGCAAACAGCGAGGATAGCGAGTCCCTCGCCCGTCACGGCATACAGTACATACTCAACGTCACCCCCGACCTGCCCAACGTCTTTGAAAGCGACGGCTCGATCAAGTACATGCAGATACCGATAAGCGATCATTGGAGCCAAAATTTGGCGAGCTTCTTCCCACAGGCCATACAGTTTATCGGTAAGGCCCTCCTCGGTGTATATAACAATACATGTTTCTTCTAGCTTCTTTTTTTTTTTTTTTTTTTATTTTTTGAGGCCGCGAAAACGATTTTTTCTTCCATTATCCAAAAACGCGCGTATAGTAACGCATTGGTTGACAAAATCAGGTATATCCATTGAATGTTTGAATCACAAGGGAAAATGTCTCTCACGGCTTATAGACCAGAGAATTCTTATACTCAATGTAGTGATAGCAAATTCACATGAGCAAAAAAGTAGATAAAAGTCGTTTAATTATTAACACCATCGCCGTTATTATTATATTGACAATAATCTCGAGAGTTTCCCGGTGATTTTTTTTTTTTTTTTTTCCCATGTTCCTGGGTTCCTTAACAGCTACTCCTACCTTATACCCACACGACGACGATGTACCGCCGGAGTTGGACAATTAAGAAACCGGACGTCCGGTGCTTGCGCTACAGCGCGCCCACAGCCAACCGCCTGTGTCTCCGTTACCTATATATATGTATCACATGCGTACACATGTAAGCCCATAATATTAGCTGCGCCTGTGTGTTATGTGCGTATGCGGATGTTATATTTGTATATACACCCATACACTAGACGCGTACCGTATAAATACACATGGGCGCGTTCGACTTTCCGATGTGCATCACACCGGCTCATCCGAAAGTTGAGAGCGACGCCTACGACTTCCCGTGTTTTTCTTCACCTTTTGAAACGCAAGATTCCCCCTCCTAGAGTGACTTCTTCCTTCCTCTCTGGGAGCCTTTTTTTTTCTCGGTTATTATACATATTATTCCCAAATCTCCCAATCGCTCGAATTAATCATGCACCCTTGGGCCTATGTGTATATACTAAAATTGTACCATTTATACGTTTGCGTCACGTAAAGTATATATAAATGTGAGTGCGGGCAACGGACGTAAGTATCTGGGACCGATTTACCACATGGGAGGTTTTTTGAAAGCTTGCCATTCATATGTGTTTATATGTACAGAGATATACAATTGAGCATTTGTTTGACGCGACTGTTGCAGAAGAGGCGCGCAACTCCGACAAGGGCGTACTGGTGCACTGTTTGGCCGGGATATCGCGCTCGGTGACGATAACCGTGGCGTACCTCATGCACAAGTGCAACCTCAGCCTGAACGACGCGTTCAACCTGGTGCGCAGCCGCAAGTCCAACATAGCGCCAAACTTTCATTTCATGGAGCAGCTGCACAGCTTCGAGCGGGAGCTGCGAGATCTGAGGAACCGCGCCGGTGGCGACGGCGGCACACCCGGGCCGGGCGGTGACGGCGGGGCCGCGACTACCACTGGAGCCGCGGTCACGAGTTTCCTAAGCTCGCTGGACCTGGGCCTGAGTCCCGATTCCGGGATCGAGTTCGATCGCTGGGCCGCGAGCACGCCCGCCGACTGAGACGGGCACGGGGGCACCCAATACCGCTTTTAAGCGCCGATTATTGGGTCACCCCCGCGCAACCGCCCCATACACCTACTGTGTTGTAGATAATACATCATCAATCAATCGTTGTTGCTGTTGTTGTTGTTGTTCTTGTTACTATTATTATTATTATTATTATTATTATTATTATTATTATTATTACTGTTGTTTTTGTACGCTAAACAACACGTTTAGTTATTACGTGATTTACATTGTGTATATTGCGTACATACGTTTTTAGGATTACTGCCGTCCTCACCGAAAGGGGTATACTACTTGCTCTTCTTCCGTATCTTCCCTGCTCTTTATTTTTAATTATTATTATTATTATTATTATTTTAATTATAGGTACATATTATGTATGACTCGAGTGTACGGGTTCAAGAAAATGGATGTATATATACTCACGGTATGGGCGTAAAATTTTTTTTTCTTTTTCTCTCTCTAACAAATAAAATGTGCGAACCGTTTCTGAGGCCTTGATGGGTGCACGACGACGACAGTATTATGCATTTTTACACAAAATTTATTTTGCGAAGGTATGGGAAAAAAAAAAATTCAGTCTCACAGTTTTTGAGTTGCAATGCATGTGGACGAGGGATATTTTTTTTGATTCATAGTTATTGCTCAGTTGTTGCTAAATTTTTTTTTTTTTTTCGTAAAATTTAAACCTTTTCAGCATCAGGGTATACATCAAGTTCTGTTGAACTCTATAGAGACAAAATCCACCCACTAAAACGGGAATGACCCGCTTGGCATCTCTGTACGATATTAAAATTGTACACAGTTTCACAGGCTTTTTGCCCTATTCAGTACTCCCCTATCTGAGCATCACTAATTTTTATCGACTGTTAACTGTATATATACAAAAAGCCTGCAAGTATATTACCGTACCCATTTTACACGCATAAATCTGTATTTTTACCCACCTAAACGCCTCGCGTAGAGGCTCTATTAATTATCTCTAACAGTTGTTTTTCCATTTTAACATTTTATTGTTATTGCAACTAATTATTATAAATAATTATATTTAGTATTGATTATCGCGTTTGTACAAACATTTTTTATTTATTTTTACGTTTCCCATGTAAATGTATATAGAGATACGTACACACGTACGTATAATACATGATTTTTTTTAACGAATATTTGTATGAACAATTTTTTTTTTTACTAAAAAAAGGGTAATAGAATAAATGAATTATATCTACGATAAGTCTTCTACTGTATGTAAAACATTTCTTTTTTTTTTTAGAATTTATCATTGTTTTATAGAAGCGAAATCGATACGCAGTTCTGTGATTCTTTTTTATGTTTCTACATTACAAGAGGCTCTTCCAATTATCACTCAAACGAATTTAAGCTCCGATCTTGTCGTTGACGAATAATTGATTCGTAATATTAACAAAGACTTGGTAGATTATTCGATTACTAAATTGTTACGTTGAAATTAGTGCCTACTTTGAAACGTAAAAGCATTTTATTCTGTGCATTTTTCAAGTGTTTGGCGCTATTTTGAAAATTTTAAGCTTGTCATGGTCATCAAAATCGGAGCATATGCATGATAAACAATCATTCACGGTCGCGGTCGTGTGTAGTTCGTGGCTTTCCACAATTTTCTACTGTAGTTGCTTATTAATATTTCATGTTGTTTTTTTTTTTTTTTTTTTTTTTTTTCTTTCATAATGAATATTTTACACATCTCAGTCATGCATTGAAAAAGTAGAAAAAGTCGTTTTTTCATAAAAGACGTTTTGTCCATAAAAAAAGTACACTTCTTAAAGCTCAAACGTTGAATTCAGCACAAAGACCTAAAAATCATCAGCCAAGATAACATAATTTTGATAATCCTGACACTGCTTGTGCCACAACATTTAGTTTTTGCCCTTTTTATACCTGCCAATAAATTTGAATATTTGCAATCAAATTATGCAAAAACTGAATAACTTAGATTTACATGTCAATCCGTTATTTTTAGACTATATTATCCTTCGGTGTAAATATTTATAACCACGTGAGTGTGAGATAAGGAAGCAGTTTTATCTTTCTATTGAAAGCATACGCGAGAGTATAAAAAGAAAGGGAGAGAAGGGTGGCATACTTACAAAGCTCTAATATTTAATTCTTGTACATTCTATGTGCATGTACGTAGAATACATATACAATAAATTTTCTTTGCATTGTAATGAACTGAGGGTAAATTATTGTAAAACTTTGACGTCGATAATAAATTTTCCTTGAATATTTATAATGGACGTCAGATTAGATGAAATTTTACGTTTAAAAAAGTAGTTACGTGATTTTGTGAAAATGTTTCTTAAGAATCGCAAGATTACTATGAAATTTTTTTTGTTAGCAAATAATTTTAATAATCTCTAAATTATATGTTATATACTTCGTTACACCTTATCCATTCACTTTCAAGTATTCTCTCTAAAGCTTTTATTTTAGCCTCGTATTTTTTCTTGTACTTGGGATATTCATTCATGCAATTTTTAAATTTGTAAGTATTTTTTATGTAGATACGATTTTTAATACTCATTTATATTGTGCGAACCACTTTTGGTTAAGAAAAACATGTATTTACGAGTATTATTCCATTAACAGAAAATTCATGATTCACAACAAACTAAATTTAAACTAGCTGTGTTTAGAAAAAAATAATATACAGTATAGCGAGGATAATGAAAAAATAAAATAAAAAAAATTTATTGACTGAGTCAACTCTTGTCAATACGGATGAGTATACAAGTCGAACATTTTTTTTTTTGCATTTTCAACATTAAGATTAATGATTGTTAAAATTTTTTTTTTTTTTTATTCATCTAGTGATCGTGAGCACTATTTGAATGAGATGAAAAAGAGTGAGAGAGAATGAGTGAGATGATGCCCACACTGTCATTTCGTAACAATCAAACGTTAATCTCTTTAACATATTATATGTTATAATTTTATGCGTTTATAAAAATACCGTTGAACTTTATACGCGATAAAAACAGAGAAAAAAAAAATTAAATGAAACTCCGACGCATTGCAATAAATTGATTGTGTTGTGCGTAATAATCACAAGGAGAGAGTACATACGACTGTCGGTATTCCAATTAAACTATATAGAAGCGTTATCATATGATTAAATGTGTTTCTAATGAAATTTAATAGAGTGATACTTTTTTTTTTTATTTGCATGAGAACTTTTTTTGCAATACGTGCACATTCGACGTAAGAACTAAAATTTTTGCACGAGTTTCAATCATCAATTTAGTAAAAAAAATATCATTCGATAACCACAAAGTATCACATAATGCGACAGACGTCATTTTATCTTCTTGCCTACTAGTGTAGAAAATTTTGCATGAATATCATTGTATCACTGAGTAGTCTCAAGTGACAACAAATTTCTTTGCGTCGGCCTTACCGACGAATTTTTTCTGTCTCACTGAACAGTAGATTCATTGCGAAAGATTTTTTATAAATCTCAATTTTTTAAATATTCTATACATTTCAAGGCAAACAAAACTGTTTCGAAAGTAGTTTTGTAATTTCACATCGAAAAAGGAAATTAAAAAAAAAAACAGTAAAAAAGGAAAAAAAAAATTATTTCGATTGACTTTTTCATAAACTTATGAGATTTGTACCAGACTCTTACACAAACGTTATCGAAGAGAGTTTAGAAAAATCTTTTCAAAATTAACAGCTACTTAGCGACCATACTACTTTGAAGAAGTGTGTGATATTTCACGTGCTACGAAAATTTTTGTTACATCTGTAGTTTGTCTGAGAAACAAATTTTTTTTCGCTTTTTTACTCTAAAGATAAAATGACAAATGAAAGATAAAATTTAACAGCGGAAAAAGACAAACTAAAGTGTGTCCAAGCCTTAGGTAGGAAAATCATGAAGTTTTATTTTTGTATGATAATCAAAAATACAAAAAAAATAATAAACAAAATGAATGTCTTACTGGTATTTGTTAACATAGTACAAGAAAGGGAGTGTCTATTTTTTAATAAAAAAAGTATTTTGTTCGCCGACTATATCATAACGTGGATGTAGTGAAGAAATCCAAACAAATAATTGATAAAACAAAAAATAAATAAAAGCATTCGTAATTTTTACAGTACATGAAACAGTTTTCCGGTAAAATAAGAAAATACAAGATAATACAGTGTACATTGTGATTTGTTGGCAACACTGTCTCGTGCGTAATTTTAATCATAAAGTATCCATCAGTCAATAAGAAAAAGTAATCAATTAATATTTGAGAAAATAATCCTATTTTATCTCGCAGATATTTTTGTAAAGCTGAGTAGTGTGGAAAAAAATTAACAAGTACATAGTTAAAAACTGTAAATGAATATTAAATAATATATATATATATATACAGCAGAAATGCCTTGTAAAACACAAAAATTATTGAAAATTAATTTGAAAACAAATGTACGCACTCCCCCATAACGTATGTTTCACTCGGTGTACTGATGTGCATTATTATGAAAATAAAAACAAACAAAAAAATACGTCTGTTGTAAGCAAGATTCGTACTTGTAACGTTGTTCATCGTCGTCTCAAGAGTGTAAAAAAAGTTTATATAAATATGTACATACGTATACAAATAGCAAAAGATAAAAGGCAGGGGAAATAAATATATAGCCTTTACTTGCTCGCAAGCTCTTTATACTGATTAGAAAGTCTCCCGATGTAAGTACTAAAACTTCAGATGAACAATCTGACTTGAGCGCATGTATGATTTTCAGAAGAAAATTTTTTTTAATCACAAAAACTGTTCAATGCATGTAAATAATTGGTGTATCGTTATTTTTTACCTAGACTTGGAAAATGTATAATTTACGAGGAAAATTATTATTAGCAAAATAAGTCGTAAAAAAAGGAATTTTAATAAAAGCTGTACAATGAAATGTTCCAGTCGAAGAATTGTACGTGACTTTTATTATAATAAACAATAGATGGATATTTATGTGAGAGTAAGAGAATGTCGAGTAACTGTGCGTTTATTCAGCGTTACTTTAGTAATGATAATAATAATTATTATTATAACATTAGTAATAAAATAACAATAATATTACAAATAATAATATACTTCTACACTGTTGTCCGTTGAATGAGAAAGGAAAAAAGAAAAATCTCGTATATTTGCGAGAAAATTTAATTAAATATACTTAAATTATTATTTTGTATTTGTCGTTGTAAATATTCTAACCAATTTTTGTTGGAAATATAACTTTCATTACCCAAAAGTAATCGTGTACATTCTTAATATTTTTTTATTTTTCCTAAAAACTTACTTCCTTTTATCGATAAACTCGCGAGTGCAAAGTACTAATTGGTAGCCATTGATTCAACAAAATAGAAAAAAATATCTCTGTGCAGAAATAATTAAACGTATTTTGAAGAGTGCAAACTTGTGCGCAATGATTTGCTAGATCAGTGAGAAAGCGCGGCGCACGTGGATGACAACATACTCTGTAAACCTATTTCTGTCACAGTATCAAATAATGAACAATATACCAACCACCGACTATTTTCACAGATATCAATCGCAGACGCGGCAACAACGCGCGAATAATAAGACTATGACACTTCCCACGTTATAATTAATTTCCCATAACTTCGATAGTTTCGTTTGAAAATATCGATACATAACAATTATTTTTAAATTATAAATAAACTATTGAACAGGTGGGAAGGCTTCACGTAATCATATAGATGTGTGAAATTTCAAAGTGATTGATCCATTGTATGAGAATTTTCAAAATTCAATGAATTTTTATACTTAAAATTACAGTAATGTTACTTTCGTCTTAACAACGTGAAGCAATCATGGCTGTTAGAAATGAGAATAAATAAGAACGATGGTGTCAATCCGTGAGAACGTAAGGAAAATTTTCATCAAGTGCTCTTTACAACATCGATTGCAAAGGAAGAGGAAAATGATACAACTACATAAATTCGACTAGACTCTCTTTATTCAATGAAAAATCCTCATCTTTTTGAAGCGCATCGTTTTAGTATAAAAAATAACGTTAAAATATGAACACGTTTATCGAGCGTTTCTTATTAAATAAGACGGGAAACCTCTTTAGAAACGATGGTTAGCTTGTTTTGAACGTCCGGGCTTTCGAGGGCAGTTTTCAAAATACGCAGCAGACCTTCGCTTTGGTGCAGAGTCGAAAGTAGGTTTGATTTAACAGCTTCATCGGGATCCATCAACAGCGTGCCAAGGCCAACGAGAACTCGGAAAATGGCTTCGGTCTCACTGAAGTGCTCGAGTATGGTGGATATCAAATCCAGGACGTTACCCTTGCGTTGTTTGCCACTGGTCTTGTTCATTGCGACTGCTAAATTTAAAATATACGTCGACAGCGCAACCTGCGAATAATAAAAACGCAAAAGACTCGTGAATTGTTGAAAAAAAGGAATAAAGTAAAATAATATGGTTAAATAAAAATGTTCAACTAGTTATAAGACGCCGTTGATGTTTTTTACCTGATTATTTTTATTTCCAGGCGTTGGTTGACGACTGGGAAATTGCTGTTTCACAAGCGTAATATGAGATTGCATGTTGTCAAGACAACATTTCTCCCCTTTGGCATGACAAAACATATTTGACAGAAGACGATAAGCAAGCATTCGGTTTGCTGCAGCTGCACTACTAGTTAAATGCTTTTCAATCGATTTCATCAGTTCATCAGTACAAACTTTATCATTTACAGTTTTATGTAAAACAGCCAAACGCGTGATGTCTAAAACTGGGAATATCATCGAATCTGGCCAATTTAAAAGAGACATTAGAGTATCAATTGCTCCAGCCTGTACTGCTTCCTCGTGTTCTTTTGTTGCTAGTTTTACTACCCATTCCAACCGCTCTTCTGGGATCTTATCAGTTGTAGCAGCCATTTTTAAGTTGAACTCTTTAAGTTTTTCTGAAATTGTTATTAAATGGTTTATTCGAAGATTCATTCTCACGTGGGTATTAATAATTATTGGAGGATAATCTCGATAAAATAAAGCATTACCGTGAATCGCAGCTAAATTTGCCTGCTCCAACTTAAGATAGTCTAGCATGGGTATGAATTTAAAAGTATTAGAGTTAGAAGGCGTTGGAGGTGAAGTTACAGGTGGTTGTTTGGCACTTTCCGCTGATGGAGCTGGTATATAACGACTTCCTCCTGTAAAGGGATCGTAGAATTGTGGAACAACAGGTGTATTTTGCTGTTGAGCATTAGCTGTGTTTTTAATTATAAAATTGGCAATCTGAAACATTTTTATACATAAATTTGATGTAAAAAAAATGAAATTCAACAATTACAAATGTTTGTATAGTGTTCGCAGTGGATACCTACTTCTTCTAAATAGCTTTGTGGAAGATCATTTTTATCAATGAAATTCTGGGCCACATGCCAAGGATCTTGATCTTGATTGTATGGTAATTTTAAAGGAGGAACTCCATCAGATATATCAATAGAAAACACGTAATCATACTCAACGCCATTATGCATTTGTCTTTTAGAAGTTTCGTTTTTTGATCCCATAACATCCCCAACGAGATCCCATTTCATCTTCACCTGATCCCACATATAGGCTTTGGGAATACCCTTATCTGACATAACTTTTATTTCTCCATTTTTTTTTCCTGGCTGAAGCAGGGCTTCACTTACATCTGGCAATCTAACATAAAAATAAAGATCATAGTAAATAAATTAAATTAAAAAGCACGTACTTTTTGACTGACTAAGAAAACAATAAGTCTTACTTGGTTACATCTAAATCACCAACTAAGGCCTGTGCTCCATTTTTTTCTACAATAGCATTTTCATAATTTTTGATGACTTCAGGATCTGCATATCTCTTCTCATCAGTTGTAAATATTCTAATGTAACCGTCAGATGATCCGCAAACGATATCTTTGTTTGGCAGAATTTTCACACACCAAACAGTTTCTGTAGGTACTGTAATAGTTTGACACAGATCTCCATTCCACCATACTCTAACTGTTTTATCTTCTCCACATGAAGCAGCTAAGCTGCCAGAATTGATAGCTGCTAAACTGTATATATAATTGGTGTGTCCATAAAATTCTGTTAAACAATCACCAGTACTGGCACACCAGTGTTTAATAATGGCATCGTTGGCGCAAGTCAGAAAAGCGCCCTCGTTTAGAACAGCTATGTCTCTAACACAATCCGAGTGAGCCTTGATTTTACGCAAAATATCTCCTTTTCTTGAATACATTATCACAGTTTTATCTGCAGATCCCGTTACAACGACGCCATTTGGTATATCTGCAACACACCAAACAGCAGCACTGTGGCCCACAAACGTTACTTGTGGCTTCGTTAAATCATTTAAATCCCACAGTTTGGCTGAAATGTCCCAGGAACTAGAGAGAAACGAGTTCTTATCAAAGATACTAGCTTTCAAGCAGCACACTGTATTTTCATGTCCATGAAATTTGTGCAACGGTTGTGGTTCTCCCACCGTGTATATACAAATGTGGGAGTCGTTACTGCCAGTAACGATAAGACCCTGAGGATGCTTTTCGGTTGGATCAATGATACACACCGAACTAACAAAATTACTGTGACCTGTCATCACTGTACTGGTATAATAACTCCCACTGCAATCATTCAATAATGAAAGAGAAAATATATATTTTATGTGAGATATTTGAGAGCAATCGTTCATAAAAATGTAAGTAAGTATTATAACTCACTCCTGATTCTTCCAGAGTATGGTATTTCGGTCTCTGCCGCCGGAAACGATACTACCATTCTTGCAAATGTCAATCACTCGCACATCCTCCGAGTGGCCGCGTAATTCCCGACTCAGCGTGTACGACGGCGGTTGACAGTCCTTAGCCATCGCCATTACCCCGTAGTAGCTAAATCCTCTCACGATTCGTACGTCTTTAGACAAAAGGAAGCCCCTCTCTCTCTCCTCTTCAAGAACAAGAGTCCTTGGGCAGATGGATTTTTTGGTATCTAACTTTTAAAACTAATCTTTACTCTGAGCTGCTCGTACTTGTTTAAGCAACTAACAGTACACACGATGATACATCAGTCCTTACAAAAACAATGCAAAAAAACTGAAGTAAGGTAATATTTGGGTAAGGTTATAAAAAGGAAGTACACACGTACACAGAGATTCTGCGGAAATGCGTTTTTTTCTGATTGCACGAGAGTGCGGTAATTTACAGAATTTCCGCCGCCATTTGTAGGATAAATTGACGATACATATAGATATAGAGGTATACTTACATGCTATCCCATTGTTGTCTCGTGGTTCGTGTGTTTACATTTTCATTCCGAGTTCGAGGTTATAAGTAGCGGCGAGGTTGTTTTATTGTTTATTTTTTTATTGTTGTACTCATCACTGACAAATACCACGAAGTATCGGTTAGAATTTCGAACTAACTTTGTATTGTAATTTTAGTTCAAGGGTTTGTATATAGTCTAAATTTAAGCGGATAAATAAAAAACTTTGCTATAAATTTATCAGAGAGTTTAATAGTGATTTAAAAAAAAAATTTTTTTTTTTTTTATGTATCTCAGTTGCCAAAATGCCATTCGATCAGAGAAGAATAAATGGCCCAGAATTCACAGTTCCATATTGCATTCACGTGGATTTAAATGAAAAGCCGGTAAAATCTTCGATAAAAAATTCATTAAAAAATAGAGCAGATTCAAGAAAACACATAGAATCTAGAAAAATGTGTAAGTATTTCAAAACTTATGTTGCTGGTTTTTTTTTTTTTTTTTTTTTTTTTTTTTTTTTAATTAATACAGATAAATTATTAGATTTACAACTGGGGATTGTAAGTCATGCAAAAGGTTCGGCATACATAGAGATGGGACAAACAAAAGTCATTTGCTCAGTTTTCGATCCAAGAGAAATCCCTAACAAATCAAATTACACCATGCAGGGTGAACTATTTTGCGAATTTAAATTTGCATCGTTTGCATCCAAAAGAAGAAAAGGACATTCGCAAGATGCAGAGGAAAAGCAATACAGTTTAATAATGCAAAGAGCTCTAGAACCAGCTGTTTGCAGAGTAAATTGTTTTTCTCATTTTTTTTACTTCTTTTGTTATTTTTTCTAATTACACAATAAAATTAATTACAACTTGCAGCACGAATTCCCTAATTTTCAAGTAGATGTTTATGCTTTAGTATTGGATAATGGTGGATCAGCATTAAGCACTGCAATTATGGCTGCAAGTTTGGCTTTAGCCAATGCAAGCGTCCCAATGTTTGGAATAGTAACAGCAGTAACTGCAGTACGATTTTAAATTTTAATACAAATTTTATCAAGGCATATTTTTTAAAGCCTTACAAGTAATTCAAACATTCGTTTTGTTCCAGGGTATATACGATGACCTGTTACTTTTAGATCCAACAGAAACAGAAGAAGCACTTTGTATGTCATATGTTAAAAAAAAGGCGCCAGCAAATCATGGTGTAATAATGCAAGCCATGCTGTCTCAACACGATCAAATATCAGAATTTTTTCTCGTTGGAAGTATGGACGTTGATTGTATAAATAATTCTGTAGACATCTTAAACAAGGCAGGAGCGGACATTTATCCTGTGCTGCAAGATGCACTTGTAAAATCAGTAACCAAAGTACTTAAAAAGAAAAAAGAAGAGAAAGAATCTGAATGATACTAGAAAAAATTTTTATCAGAAATTATTTATTTCGATCCTTACGATTATTTTTTTTTTTTTTTAATACAAATGCTTATACAAAGAATAAATAATGTACAGTAATACAGATTAGTCTTCTGGTTTTTCTGGGGGTGGCCCACAAGGTTGCAACATTTTTTCCATGAGATTGAAACGAACCCTTGCTTTAGCCTCGTTTTCGGCAATGGAGAAAAAATTTAATAAATCATAATGACCCATATACGAACTGCACGAGTCTCTATGTTGATTCATTAACCACTCAAATTTCGTTGTATCTGCATGACCTGTACCGATGTACTTGGACTGGAGATGCTCCAACTGGCTGTGTATGTTGTAGCGTTCACCCATTCTTTAAACTAAAATAATTATTAATGGTAGTCAAGTAAATAAACAATTAAACAAGAAGAGAATCAAATTTCATCAAATACATTGTTTTTTATGAACTATAGAAAAGTATAAACTAACCTTTGCTAGTTAACTCAATGAATAAATTATGTACTAGCTGATTTTATTTCGAACAACAGAGTGCCTATACTTATTTCGCGGTCGTCAAATAAATAAACAATATTCAATGCAGTATGAAGAAGACTGACGCAGCATCAAAACACGTCTGTCTGTCTGGCGTCAGCTGGCGTCCACACTCGCGTTAGGGTGAGATTACATGGGGTGTTTTCCGCAATCGTCACCAGCAAGTAATTCAAGGTTGCGCTCTACGTTACCGTCAGGTCGGTAAGTCAACTACCTTGAATTAAACTGGCGTTGTATTCCGTAATCTGGCCAGTAAAAACAGCGGACGACAGTCAACAGCGATGAAATCTTCACTTTTTTCTTGACTTTCATGTCGTCCGCTGTTTTAACTGGCCAGATTACGGAATAGAGCGCCAGTTTAATTCAAGGTAGTTGACTTACCGACCTGTCGGTAACGTAGAGCGCAACCTTAAATTACTTGCTGGTGACGATTGCGGAAAACACCCATGGAGTCTGGCAGTCTGCAGACTGGCAGAATCGCGCTAAGTTTAAAATATGTTTCAATATTAATATTTAAATTCTGTTACGTAAGCAAAGAAATAATTATCGTAATACATTTGCATTTCTGTATTAACCAATATTTATGAAAAAAAGGCGACGAAAAACGTTTTGTCACAGTTACATATTGTTGTACATACCAGGTAACATCAGTGACCCTACTGACCGACTGTGCGATGTTAACATAAATCTATAAAAAAAGTTATAAAATAATATTTGACACGTTTTATTGTAAATGAAATTGATTGTAACTAAGCCTTTATTCTGTTATGACAATAATTACAATTTTTTTTTTATTTTACTAAATTATACTGAGATGTTATAATTTAAACATAATTTAAACTTAGCGCGATTCTGCCAGTCTGCAGACTGCCAGACTCCATGTAATCTCACCCTTACGCTCAGTGCTCATATGTATATAATAACCCTGTTAATGGCGGATAGGCGGATTCCATTCGAGCTCTACAACTCTGCTTTCCCTCTCTCTAGTCGATTGCCATATTGTCATCAGTTGTTATTCATAATCATTGAGTCAACCTGTGTTGAGTGTGTACTCGTGTACTGTAAACGCTCGACAGCTCTTTTTGTTCGTTTATTTATTTGAAGCCAAATGGGTTCGAGTAAAAGACATAAAACGGATAAAAACCGCGATGGGAAGAAAAAGCGGCATCGTAGTCGGAGTCGCTCGAGGTCCTATTCACCCGAACGAGACAGAATGGACAAGCACAAGCATCACAAGAAACACAAGAAGAAAGATCGCAAGGATTACGATAGCGATGGTGAGTTTAAACGTTTTCGATGACATTCTTTTACAATACCCTTTCACTAACACTTTCAGTTTTTAAGAAGTTTTCTTGATCTGCAGTGGAGATCATCAGCGCTCCACCACCACCCAAGATTTCAAGAATCTCAACGCACTATTCGACATCTCCACCAACTGAGGTTCTTCATGGGGTAAGCATGATCCTAGCTTTGGGCTTTTGTAGACTTTCTCTAGGAACTTACTGATTCACGCTTCCTTCAACTGCATGAATCGAATTTTCAGGGCAAGGACGATAGGCATTCCCATCAAAGCAGAGAAGACAGGTACAGCGGCCAAAGTAAGGAGGACAGATATGGTCATGGAAAAAATGATAGGCCGAGTAGACAAAAGAAATCGCCTTCTCCTGCTGAAAGTGGAAAAGCACATGCATCTCTTTCAATCGAGGAAACTAACAAACTGAGAGCAAAACTTGGGTTGAAACCTCTGGCGGTTGATTCAGGTCCCAAAGAAGGCTCTGACATCATCAAAGATGATTTGGGAGAATTTCGCCACAAACCGGCTATTAACACAGCTGAAAAGGAAAAAACGCAGAAAATCAAGGAAAAACTCGATGTTATAAAACAGAAAAGACTAATCGAATCTTCGTTAGCTGCCGTCAAGACCCTAGGTGATGATGATTCGGATGATGGTGATGCGTCCGAGTGGATAAAAAAAATGAGGAAAATCGAAACGGAAAAGAAAAAAGCAGCTGAAAGAGTATGCATATACAACTGTTAAATTGACGTTACTATCGTGCAATCTGTGTATTGAATTATAAATTAAATTTTTTAGGCTAAACTCTTGGATCAAATGGATGAAGAATTTGGCATAGGAAATTTAATCAAAGAAGACGTCAACAATGAGAAAAGAAACGCCTACACTGGCAAACATTTAAAAGGACTCAGAGTGGAACACAATGTGGTATGTTTTTATTATTAAATCGTGTACTGAATTAAAAAAATTTGGTTTATTAAAATGACCAAATTTTTTTTTTTTAATGTACCAACCAGTTTTTATTTTTTTTTTATTTTAATGTCGTAACTCGTTCATTTCAAGTCCGATTTCAAAGACGGCAGTTCCATCATTTTGACGTTGAAAGATCAGGATATTTTGGCAAAAGACGACGATGTTCTTGTTAATGTCAACATGAAGGATGATGAACGTTACAAAAAGAATGTACTAATAAAGGCGAAAAAGCCTGGCTACGACGCGTTTGATGAGAGTTATTATGATGAATATGGAATGTCGAAAGCCAAGGTTTTAGAAAAATACGACGAAGAGATAGATGGAGAAAAGCGTGATAGCTTCGCCATTGGTTCAGTTGATTTAAAAGCAATGAAAGCCCGTGAAGCTGAAATTGTGAAAAATCGATTGGCGAATAAACGCCTGGAAAGCTTAGAATTCACAAATCTTAAAATGGCCACTGATTACTACAATGAAGAAGAAATGGTGAAATTTAAAAAGCCCAAAAAGAAAATTAAGAAAATCAGAAGAAAATTTAAAGCCGACGATCTTATTCAAGATAATAACGATTACTTGAAAGATTTGGGAAGTAGAAGACGGCGAAGGGAAGAACCGACTGACATTTTAGATGTTGATGATGTAGACGGTAACAATTCGATTGATCATCCAGTGATATGTTTCAATCATTCTTTACACGTTTGTAACAATTTTTTCTTCAATAGCACCCAAGGAGGATCTCAGCCGGATAAAAATCGAGGATGATGATCGCGATTTGGATCGGAAAATAAAGCAAAAAGCTCAGCGTTTAAAAGGACCGATTACGTTGTTGAAACCGGAAAACATTGCAATCGGTATAAAACAAGAGATGGACAAGGCAGAACCTAATGTTGTTGGAAGTAGTGGCAGTATCGTTTTAAACTCAACTGCCGAGTTTTGCAGAACACTTGGAGACATTCCAACTTATGGCCAAGCTGGCAACAGAGAAGAAAATCAAGAATTTATGGTACGTAAATAATTAAAGTAGAAGACAATCATTTTTTAATGGAAATGCTTTTTTTAAACAGGACTTTGAAATGGATGAAGTTAAACCTGAGTATTCAGATGACGAGATGAATGAGCGCAGTGCTTGGAATTCCGTGGATGTGGGTAAGTAAACTTTTATAAAATTTATTGCTTGTTGGAAAACTTTAGTTTTTATCAAAGATGATGAAATTTTCAGAGAATAGCACAGATCCTGCTGCTATGGAAGCTGCCATTTTAGATGCTGAACCATCTCTTGATCACGGCGTAGGTGGGGCTTTGAAATTGGCCATGAGCAAAGGTTATTTACAAAAAGAAGACTCAAATAGACCTTCAGCATCTCGATTTGCTCATCTCAAAGCTCAAAATTATTCTATAGAGGACAAAGCATACGGGTATTGTATTATTTTTTAATGTACTATACCTTTAAAATTTTTGTGGATCATGCTTAATTTTGGTATTTATAGCGATGAGGATAAATTTGGCCGTCGTGATAGATTTAATGGTCCTACCATGGATTTCAAAGAAAAGGATACTTTTAGACCTAACGTTAAACTAGAATACATCGATGACGATGGGCATGTTTTGAATGCTAAAGAAGCATTTAGATATTTGTCCCATAAATTTCATGGCAAAGGTCCTGGAAAAAATAAGGTGAAAGAGCTTGTTTTATAAGTAAATAATTAAAAATTTAATCTTTAATTTTTTGTTTTGTAGGTTGAAAAACGAATGAAAAAGGCAGAACAGGAATGTTTAATGAAAAGGATGTCTTCTACAGACACTCCATTAGGAACATTAACACTTTTACAAGCAAAACAAAAAGAAACACAATCTCCATTTATTGTTCTCAGTGGGAATAAACACATGCAAACGTGAGTATACTTTATTATTTGATAATCAGATAATTATTTTCAAAGTTTGTAAGATCATAACCCATGATTATCATTTTAGGGCTAGTATATCAAAAAGCAAGAATTAACTTGTAAGTATTCAGGGAACACAATAGAATACATGGTTGCTCTTACGAAAAAGTTATTGAGATGAGGTGAGCAATGTAATTAATTGATTGTCATACTGATGAATTTGTTTTGAAAAAGAAATAAAACATTTTAAAATTATTTGTGTTAATTTGCTTATTTTTATGTCAATATAAATAATCTGCTAAAATTGGCAAGTTAACAGCTATGTCCCAGCAAACTGCTACAATACAAGTGAAATTTTAGTACATTCGCATAATTAAATTTACACAACTTGTTTTAAAGTTTTAATATGTGTAAAATTATTGATAAAAAAAAGTATTCTCAGTTATTGGGACATTGACCTTAAATTTTACGTTTCTCATAAAAAATTGTAAAATTACACAATTGAATAATTTTGACACATTCATTTATTGGCTGTAACTACACAGTAGTTCTTTACACAATTTTTGTACGTGGAAGATGTTAAATGTAAAATAAAACGAAGACATTTTAATCTTTAAAACAATTTTAAATGCACACAGAATAGTATCTATACATTTGTTTGATCAAAGCAATAAAAACATTATATGTTCAAATGCTCTTGGTTCATGTTCACATTTCTTTTTGTTTCTCATGAAATCATCACACGGCATCGGTGTTGTTGCAACCGCGAAAGTTTGTCGGAGAAAAAAACACATTGGTAATAATTTTTTACTGCAACTGTCCACAGTCAGCTACCCTGATTTTCTTTGAGGTTTTGCCGCTTTGTGAACCATAGCTTTCCAGCTTTTTAACGATATCCATACCTAACACAAACATAGAAAAGTTACGGACGTAGATAAAAAAATTACTTTAAAAAATGAATAAAGCATACCTTCCACAACGGAGCCGAATACGACGTGTTTGTTGTCCAGCCAAGCTGTCTTAACAGTGGTGATGAAAAATTGCGAGCCGTTTGTGCCTGTTGGGATGTAAATTTATTTTACTAGAATGTAAAATCAACTAGCGAATGCTACTCATTGAGATGTGTGTAAGGGTTATTGGATATGTATGCAAATGAGATTAGCTCAGTTGTGTTTGTGTATGGTGATCAGAAGCAGTGGTCATGTAAGCAAGCAAGCTCTCGGGTCTTTTTGTGGTGTTGAACGAGTTTTATTGATATAAGATTCTGCTTGCAATATTCTTGAGGTAAGTCAGATAAAAAGTATATTGAACAGTACCTGGTCCAGCATTCGCCATTGACAAAATTCCGGGTCCGGTATGCTTGAGCGTGAAGTTCTCGTCAGCAAACTTTTCACCATAGATGGACTTGCCGCCGGTACCGTTGTGATTGGTAAAGTCGCCACCCTGGCACATGAAATTTGGAATAACACGGTGGAAGTAGCTGCCCTTGTAGCCGAATCCCTTCTCACCGGTGCACAGAGCCCGGAAATTTTCCGCCGTCTTAGGCACGACGTCCGAGCGCAGCTCAATGACGATGCGGCCGACTGCCTGACCATCAGCGATCATGTCGAAGAACACTCGTGGTAGACCCATTGCTGCTTTTTATTTTTTCCTCTGTTTTCTGAAAGGAAATCAAGCATTCAACTCTTTTAGAATCATCGATTTGGAATTAGGTACATCCGCTCATGAATATTTTACGGGAATCAACGTCTATACTGCTGAATAATTAATACAAATTTAATTCACGTGAATAAAGGTAGTTTACGCACTAGAATTAACTGTACTACACGTTAAATAATGTACAGAAATGTACGAAAATGCTGCTCTACTTAGAAAATCTAAACTACGATTTCCTTTTCACAAGACGAGATAAATAATAATTGTTAGTCGATAAACATATACGTCAAACTGATAACTTACAATACTAGAAATGTAAAAAAGTATAATGGTAGTTTTCCTACGAGTTTGAAAAGTCTTTGTTTGCGAACCGAGAGGTTTGCGGCCCGAGCCGAAGGCGAGGTCCGTAACGAGGTTCGTAAAGGAGACTTTTCGAACGAGTATCGGAAAACTGCTTTTTCGCCCGAGGAAGTACCAGCCTCCCAAAACCACCCGAGGGCGGAAAATATATTTTTCATATAAAGTGATCTATTTAAAGATCAGCCAACATAGAAATTACGATTATTTTTTACAAACTCATCGCATTAATGTATTTAAGTAACTGAGGATAGTTAGGATTGAAGGAAAAGTCAATTGTTTTGTGTTCATACATATGTGTTGCATTGAGAATGGTGGAAAAATCAAAAGCGGAAAGTGCACGAGATCGCTGACGATAGCTATACGATTTCCAAGCACGTGAGTATTCGGGGATCAGTGCTAAGTTCTAGAAGCCGCAATCGCTCCAAAATTTTAACTAACACCACCCACACCTTCCAGCTAAAACGTTGCTAGTTTTCGTCGAATGTCACCTTTTCCGGAGGGATGAAATTAGACAACTAATGGTTGTATGTGTATATACAAAATCTACGCACACCGAGTCCATCAAAAAAACATATACATGTAAAATAACCTATCGGAGCAAACACGATGAGCAGAAAAGCTACCGAGAAAAGTCATTTATTACTCGTAGTATATACTTATCAAGTTTCTATCGATCTGCAATCTATGCTGTATGGCACGTATGCATCTGCCGAGAGCTGCTTAGTGCCGAGAAGAAAAAAATACGGTGCTAGCGGAAAGTTCTCAAAAGTGATAAAACACAAGCGGCAACGAGAGGAAGCCTAACAGGGAGAGCCTGCGTAGCCGCCATTTCTGTAGCCTTGAAAACGCTGCAGCACACCGTGTACTGTATAGGTGGACGCACTGAAGATGCCTCGTGCGGAAGACCGAAATCGGGATGCGTGAACACCGGTCGAGGAAAAAGCGTGACATCATGAATGCACCAGTGACACTCGATCGCGTACCGAGCTCTTGGGACACAAAGTTTCTACTCTGATGTCTTGCTCGGGTTCTCGAAGCCAAAGGAGCGGACCGCGTGGCGGAGGAAAAGCCGCGCTGACCTACCTGCCAATTTCACTTGAATAATTTACAACTTACCCTCCACCCGTGACGCGTTATTCCCGATTTTCTTTCACTCGAGGACACAAAACTCACTCGCACTTACCTTGTGCAGTGCTCCTCTCTCGAGCGGGATGTGCTGATTCACAGGAGCGGAAGACGCTGAATATCTCGAGATGCAAACTCGCCGGCGACTTGATTAGAAGTGCGCTAATGGCGGCTGATGGCGGAACTCGTGTTCGTTCGTCCTCTGCTCTCCAAGAGATTTATGCCGTGCCACTGGCGCCACTGCCCCTTTAAACTTTGTACAAAGTGACCAGTTTGGGAAGTAGTGAGAGAGGGCTTTTAAATTTCAGCGCTTTTTTTTTGTAAAATGAAGTAACTGGCAATTTTTCAGAGCTAAACGATATCTTTGACTCTCGTTTATTGATTATTTTGCTCGAAGAGCCGCTTGAGAGTAACTACAATAATATTATTCACGCTTATCGAAGGTGTTTATTTTCAGAAAATATAAGAATTAGGAAATCAAACAGCTAATTTATCGTGTATTTTAAGGGTGCCTGTACATGGGAAACCTGCAGTCTGGAGAATGCCAGTCAAAGCTTCGGCGGGCGATTCAATTCAAATTGATAGAGATCAATATATTTTTTTTTTCTTACATTCTGTACAACAGACACCTTGTTTTCAATGAAACTAGACTCTGAAGTCGTATTTTGATTTTAGAAACTGATTTTAGTAAAAAGTTAAAAAAAATTTCGGGTCAGTATAACAAACGACTAGTCGGTAAACAGGGAAATTACAGTAACAGGCTGCCAGCAAAAACTAGTCATTTGTTATACTGACTCGAAATTTTTTTTAACTTTTTACTAAAATCAGTTTCTAAAATCAAAATACGACCCTTTCGAGCGGCCGCATCTATGATGACCTTTTGGGGTAAAATCAATTCATTCGACACATCTCAATTGATGGAGTTTTTTTGATTTTCGAACGATTTTTTAGAACAATTTAAATTCTGTAAAAAAAAATATGAGAAACAATTTGTACCGCGGATCTTTGAAGATTCACCCACACGTGCAGAAAAGCGCTATTTTTTACGCTTTCTTAGTACTGGACGTTGCGGTTTGTGAATTGTGGTTGGCGAATTTTTAGCGCCGGCTTCGTTTCTACGAACAAAATCTGTTACGCTCCATATCGCTCAAAATCGACGTAGTGCTATTTTTTAGAAATACGTTTTTATCAACACTGTATACGTATTTCTATGCATACACACTATAGATGATGTACTTCGTAATAATCTCAAGTACCGATGCATGTTTTAAATACAAATACATTCTTCAATATTGCGTATGTTTCTCTATTTCTGCCTTATCAACAAATCATGATTTCTGTATATTCTTATTTGAACCCATTTGATGGGTTTTCATCAATTAGTTTAGTATTAAAATTCCATCAATCTACGAGAATACGAAACTTAAAAAAACAACAAGTATGATACACCATCGGTACTTAATCATAAAAATGTCCAGTTTTGCGCACGTGGTGCACGTAAGTTTCAGCATCTCCGAACACTCCACGCATATGTATGTATTCGCGCGTGTACATATACACGTATGTAATGACTGTAATGAGTTTTTAGACGATCCTATACGAGACATAATCGTTTATCATCACCAAATAATTTTATACAGCAAAATGTTAAACGTACACGCGAAAACTAAAATTGTTGTTAATTGCTGGTAAAATATACTTTTTTTTTTTTCGCCGACTATGTACATACACGTAAAAATTATAAGTGTGTGTGGCATTACGCGCGCCTGTTGTATAACTGTACATGTGTGACACAATATATATTATAATGAAACGTCAAAAGACTAGTTTGTATTATTATTATTATTACTATTAATTTATACTTTTTGTACAAATATATGCGCATTCGTAAGTTGTTTTGTGTATGTATGCACCTGTGCACGTTTGTTTAAGTGCGCTACGTATATATATTAACAACATTCACGCGTACGTATAGTTACGTACATTTTGTTTACAAACACGGCGGATTGATTTTACGACTGTCAAAATAATTTAATAAATTTGACACGAGATTTTTTTCACCTCGTCACATGCGATAATCCGCGTATTTGTTCAGATTGTTTGGCCGTATACGCTCATCCTTATCTCCGTCGTGTGTTCAAAGATGGGGATATTTTTGCATACGAAACCAGCTCAACGGCTCATTAAATGTTTCATCCGACTTGCGTAAAAAAAGCATATCCCCCGGTGTTTATGCACAGCTAGATCGGATGTTTTTTTTTTTTTTTTCTACTCTTTTAAGTCATGGTCCGCCAAGTTAGTAATATTTTTTTTAATCTCACGCCATAGTCTCTAACTTTTTTGATGAAAATAACATATGCTGTATATACGCTTGTGTCCATGCAGTGAGTTCTGATGTAAAATCTTGCCACCTGAATATTAATTAGCTTCAGGTTGCATTTTGTTAGGGAATAGGTAGATAATAAATAAATAGAAATGCTTACGAAAACTTTCATTTCGTGATCGTATTTACGATTATTATTCACTCAACAATCAATGGAAAAATGATATATCCTTATGTGGCTCTAGTGATGTTCTATGCATGTGCCTTTTCTCTTGAACATAAAAACGATTGCCTTGTAAGTTCATTATTTTTTTGTATTTTACCATCTTTTTTTTTCTTTTGTCAAATATAAATTTTCGTTTTTATTATCTAATTTTCAGTACAACCATGACTACAGGTGTGCTTCACAAATTGATAAAAATGTAACAAGTTCCATTGATGGCATAAACTTGTGCACCAGAGAACAGATACCAAAGGTTGCCGATTTTTACATCATGTGGGATGAAGAAAAAAAATCGTCCAGTCGCGGTATGTCAATGAAACCGTGGCTACGTTAATTAAACAATTGGATTTATTTATGTGTTATTGTAAGTATATATTTTTACTTGCAATTGTTTCAGGTGTTTTGAAAATACGTTTCAAATCTCCCTCGACCGTGTGCAAGTACAAAGTGTCCCTTTTCATTAATCCACGAATAAATAATTCCAAGGATTGCGACAATTACGTGTTTCGTAAGGGAAACCACACTGAGATCCATACACCAGAGAAAACCGTCTGTCTCAGCACTAGAGAAAATAAAGAAGAACAGGCGATGAAAAATACGTTGCAATCGTTGTTTTGCGAGGTGAGCTGTTTACATTTTTTTTTTTTTTTTTTTTTTTTCAGATTCAGTGCACGCAAAATCATATTCTTTACAAATTAATGAATAATCGCCACCAAATATTCGTTTATGCAATAAAAAATTTTGTAAAATGTAAGTCAAATTTTAAATTTTTTCTCATCACATTCGATTATTTAGGATACCCTGCACATGTGGTTTCACTACATCTACACGGGATGTTACGCTCTTGGGTTCAATGTCGACAATGATTACATTTTCGTTGGAAATGAATTTTTTGTAACCGATTATCAGAAAAAAGAGGTCGCAGAGCCGAAAGTCTCGTGCAGTTACAAGTCGACGTTGACAAATCGCGAATCAAGGTTTATTATATGCTTTTTTTTTTAACACCAACATAAAAATTTGACGCTTTGCCCTGAAAAAAAAAAAAAAAAAAAAAAAAAAAAAAAAATTTTTGCTTGCAGTTTGGAAACGGTGCCAATTGGAACGTATGTTTCTCTGCTCGTGGGCCCACCAGATATAAAAGTAGACATAGAAGTGGCACCTTATTCGTTAGTCCACAAGAATGAAGAAGTCGCTTGCAACAGATACAGCGAATCCCCCTTGATTAAACTATCGTTAACACTGAGTCCGGTAACTTGGCTCATTATACCTTTGAAAATGTCCCGAAGAAAGCAATGATACATATATACATTATTCGCCTTTGTTTAAAATGCTTTTCAGGGGAACGATACCGATGCAGCGAACAAGAACTGTACTCAGTCGACTGTAAGAAATACATTTTCTCACTCTCACTTTTTCCAAGTTGTATTCTTTGATTGATTTTTTTTTTTTTTTTTCAGAAATTTTTATCCACCGGCGAATCGGAAAAAACAATCGACTGCAATTTCGTAGCGGAAAATTCGATGAAGGATACAGGGTATTGCCTTTTCATTCGCATATTGGATCAGAGGTGCCAAAAAAATACCTCGTGGAAGCCACCTTCGAGAGATAAAGTTCCTTGCGCGTGGATGCAGCGTAAGCGGCATTGAACAAACGACTTGACCAACGTACAAAAAAAAATGTTTTTTTTTTTTTTCTCTTTTTTTTGTATAGATTGTCAAAAGACTGAGGTAAAAGAAATAGACGTGGAATTGGAGGGAGACAACAGCGTGCAAAAATTGAAAATACCGGCAATGCTGTACATCTTTGGATATGTGGCAGCTGTTTTAGTCGTAGTTGCAGTGTCGAGTACGATCCTCGTATCTTATTGTTTACACGTTCAGAAAAAAAAAGTTTTTCCCAATGGAAACGCGAGTGCAGCAGGTGGCTATGGAGCAAGTGATAAGAATGTAAATGTGGACAGCTTGGAGTCGCAGAAGGAAAGACTACTCGTCAGGGAATCGGGAATCGTTATTCTGTATGTAAGAGAATCCGACGAGTTCATGTCATTCATGGGACAGTTTGGAAAAAGTTTGACGGAACTTTGTGGCTGTGATGTTAGTAACAGTTCCTCCCCAAGTATACATCTTCGTCGTCACCTGTAATGATTTAGTAACGTTTGGAATTAATTTGCGAAAATTCTTGTAGGTGTACGACTGGTGGGCTCCAGAATTGTGGAACGACGTGGCCCGTCTGGGAGGCTACGAGTGGGTGGTTAATATGATAAGAAAAGATTGTCGCATCGTTTGGATGGATACGTTGAAAGCACGCACGATTTTTGCGTCGCTGAGCAAAAATGGGTGCACTCGGTTCAAGCAATTGAAACGCCTGGAAAATCTCGAGATCACAGATTTTCGCGAAAGCGTTTTTCCAGCCATCCTCGATTTTGCCAAGCGTTACAACCAGGACCTGAAACGTGAATATCAAAGGCATTTTGTCGTTAGGTCTGAAATTGTATCCTCATCATTTGTAATTGTTCCATTCGGTTTTTTCATTTTAGACACTAATTTTTTTTAATTCCCTTACAGATTAGAAACATTTAAAGGTGCTGATGAAACTGAGGATCCCTTTGCTGATCTCTCACCTCATGCAAGATACTTGCTGCCATGTCATCTTGATAAATTATGCTATCAACTGTAAGTAGCGTTAAAATGTTTGTTAATAATAACCATAATGAAGATACATTAATACCTTCTGGTATCTCCTTCAGGTCAACCCTCGATGTGAACTTACAAGATGAAATTAATATTAATAAAGTCCGACTCGGAAAATACTTATATTATGATCCCGTCTTGGATTTGTGATTCTATATTTTTATACAAAACCGTTGTGAATAAGTTTGAATTGTAACAATAGTACAAAACTTTGTCAGCATGCTAAAATACATGCTGCCTCTATAAACGATACTGCAATGTCGAGTTTTTTACTGTTTATACTGCAAAAAAAATCTGTTACATATTTTTATATTTTATAGTTGTGAATAATCATCATTATAATGTTGATTCATACATGTATGAATAAAATAAGAATTTTTAATGTGGTTGTAGATTTACAACGTAAAAGTTGGATAATGTGATAAAATGTTAAACTTGGGCACAAAATAAAAATCGAATGACAAAAAATTCATCTATTTTATCTCTCAGCCATTATTAAAAATCATACAGTGATAAAGACGAATTCGCATGGAAAATTTGAAATTCAACAGGCAAACGTACGTTTTGTGCTAATTATAAATGTTGCAACTTTCTCATTTGTTTATTTAAACGCTTCGACAATTATAATTGGCACTTGGTGTACATTTCACTTTCAATTCATCAATTGTTTTGCGCTGGAGGTTTGGACCAATCCACACTCAAAATCAAGTGGTCGTATCCATACCCATTCAATACATTAATGGCATTAGCAGCTTCTTGCCTTGATTTGTAATGAACATATGCAAAACCTTTGCAAACGTTTGTATTCTTTTCTTTTGCCAAGTACAGCTTTTGGATTCCACCGAATGGCTTGACCAATTCTTCCAGATCCATGTCTGTTGTACTTTCCGACAAGTTGGATATTCTGATGGCAGTCGTGTCATCTCTGCGTTGCATTTGCATCGAATCACCACGTTTGTTGCCACCATCACGCATACTTGGAGGAACGTATTTTGAACCTTGGGGCTTTCCAACTTCTGAAACTCCGGATCCAGTTGGTGCCATTGGTTTTTTGTCTTCTGCGAGTTTAGCTGAAATTTGACAAGAAAATTAATAGTGGACATTGCATAGAGCATGATATAATATGTTTATTATTATAATAAAATATTGTCAACTTACTGCCCATGAGAGCTGTATCTTTGTATGGACACTTGGAGGTCCAGTGGTCTCCAGTACAATTTCGGCACTTGACAACACCCTTATCTCCCATACTTTTGAGTTTTTCCATCACATCCTCTTCCATCTTGTTATCTTCTTCCTTGTTTGACAAGAATTGCATAAATACATCTTCAGCGATAACTGTAGTTGCTGGATTTGGTCCAGGGCCATCATTTACAGAATCTCCATACTTGGCCCATGCTTTTCTGACAGCAATACTTTTGGAAACTGTACGCTTCTCAATTCGGTAAGTACGAACTACTTTCACTTTTTTGTTATCATCGTTTAGCTTATATTCTGTGACAATTTTCACATCATTTTCCTTTACAGTCGTGGGAGGGGGAAGAGTGACATTTCCTTCTTCCTCAACCTCATCTGCCCAGCTCGAAATGCCATATCCACTAGGCATCTGTAATACAAATATTTTATTGTTTTTGTAATAAAAATACCAATTGCTCGTTAATATCTATTACTTCTACATAAGTATAAACATCAGGTAGAGCTAAAATTTCACTTGCGACGTGTGACACTAATATTTTACAGGTTAAGTTTTCACATGGCAGTTTAATGATTATTTGCGGTGTACATCTACAGAATAAAAATTGATCGCACTTGATTGTATCCAAAAGCAAAAGTTTCAAAATGAACCACAATTTTGATATTTTTATCTTGAAAAACAACAATAACATGAACCAAATACGATGAAACAAAATTGAAAGATTTGTCCAAAACTGTTACAGTATCTTGTTTACAGGCTATTTACACCATTATAATGATCTCATCTCAATACGGTTACAAAAGTAAATTAAATCACTTACTTTGCTTTTTATGTTGTGATTCTAATTTAATTTGTTGTTTATGAATAAAGTGACAGTAATACAGATTTTCTTCGCACTGCTGGCTCTCAGTCAGCAGATCAGCAACTTGAGAGGTTATGAATTGCGGCAGCAACTAAATCAGAGGAGGGGGGGGTTTTGGTGTCGTGAGTCGTGATTCGTGAGAGAGTCACCCCTCTCGCCCCCCTTTAATTGTTGACGAATTCATCTCTTTTGTGACGTCGTCCGCAACTGTATATGTAAACAAAACTTGCTGCCAGTATAAGTAGCATCGTTATAAGACACAAATAGTCGAAGTTGACTCCGTTGACGATAGTGATAAATAATTTGCTTAAGCATATAATTAAAATAATTCAATCTCCAAACTTTAATTCAATTGGAGCGATAGCATACATTTACCCTCTGTCACATTAGCTTTTTCGCGATGTGTAGGTATGTATAAAATATATATCCTTAAATTCCTTAAACAGTGGCTTAAAGACGCTTAAATAGAAAAAAAAACCTATACCTACCATTGTGTTTTTTTGTGTCCTTTGTAGTTATTAGGTATATTGGAAAAATTTGTAGAATACAAGCGATATTGACATTCAGGGAGAGAGATCACTATTTCATTGTTGACTCAAAATAATAACGGGATCTCGTAGCATGATCAAAAACTACGTTAGATCAAGATATATGGTACTTAAATCTAAATAAAAAGAATGCTTGCTCTTTTAGTCATCTTCAATATAAGTAACTACTACAATGGCTACAAGGTCCCACCATCGACCATCATCTCGTGTGCAGTCCCCAAAGATTATCCGTAACTATCGATAATATCAAATAAGTTTTTTTTACAATTTTTTTGGAAGCTAACATGTTTTTTAGTGTAGTATACACAAACAAAAAAAATATCAATTCTTCAAATCACATCCATTTAAAGATTTAATCAAATACTGTTTGTAAATCCCGATTGCTTTATTTTTTACGCTCTTAGCAACAATTCAATAATTCAATATTTCATATTACAATTTTCATACTACACACATTTATTATCCGCCTTTTTTTAGCATATTAAAAATTATCGTTTACTAAGAAATAAATAAAGTATTCAATCCAGTGATCTTGTTAAATTAAATATAACAATCCAAGAAGTAAAAGCAAGGCATAAGTGTGTCGAGATAAAAACAACTTTTTACTATTAAAAGTCTAATAGAAAAAGATAAGTATGCGGTAGAACACAAAACGTACATTATTCTTTATCACAATTAAAAATACACACTGGATGTGTATAACGTGAACCGCGTTACACGTACTCATCATCTACTCATGTTAAAAAATAATACATATAATTATAAAAACGACTGATTTTATGATAACACTGAGTGTAGATTTCTTTGTTCTCTCACAGGAAGTGGAGTTGTAGGTGATAAGCGTGGACGAAGACTAGCAAAATTTTTTTTTAGCGGCCTATAGCGATCGCATTTGATGACAACGTAAAAATTTCTCGGTGAGTGCATGATATGCATAGTCTCTTGTCTTGCATGATTTTATGTAAAAATGAATATCTTCATTTGTAATTATCAAAATTATCAACTTTCAGGTGTTTATAAGGGCACAATGAGCGTTATTACAATTTTTGCTCTGTTTGGGTTACTAAATGCTGCCGTTGCATCTGTACTTCATTATCAACCCGAGGCTGTGCATATTTCATACGGAGGTAAATTAAATTTTACTTATTATAATATTTTGCAAAATTTTTTAATCGATTGTTTCATATTTTTTAAATCAATTTTATGAATTTCAGAAAATGGTGTTCACGAAATCGTTGTAACTTGGAGTACAATACAAGCCACAAATGAATCAATCGTTGAATATGGTATTGGAGGTTTTGCTTTGACTGCTTATGGAAATGCAACAAAATTTGTCGATGGAGGACGAAAAAAGCATCAACAGTACATTCACAGAGTAGTCCTTGAGGATCTAACGCCAAATAGCAAATATGGTGAATGAAAATTTGAAAAATATTTCTCCATTAAATTACAATTGGAATTTGATGTATCAAGACCGAACCGTTTGTATTACGGGTTGGTAAAGATATATTTTTCTTATTCAGATTATCACGTTGGAAGTCGATATGGATGGTCAGCTGATTATCGCTTTACGACAGCACCTGATGAATCTGAGAAATGGTCACCACGTATTGTCATATTTGGTGATATGGGAAATGAAAACGCCCAAAGTCTAGCAAGATTGCAAAAGGAGACCCAAGAAGGTTTTTACGATGCCGCCATACATGTAGGCGATTTTGCGTATGATATGAATACTAAGAATGCTAGAGTTGGTGATGAATTTATGAAACAAATAGAAACAATTGCTGCTTACATGCCGTATATGACTTGTGCTGGAAACCATGAAGAAGCATACAACTTTAGCAATTATAGGTAAATAATTGTGCCGTATTTATTTATAAATTAAGGATATCGAATGTAATTCGGATACTAACGTAAAATATCATTTTACAGAGCAAGGTTTTCGATGCCGGGTGAGTCTGAGGGATTATGGTATAGTTTTAATATGGGACCTGTACATTTTATAGCTGTGCATACAGAGGCTTACTACTTTCTAAACTATGGTTTAAAGCAACTTGTTAAACAGTACGAATGGCTCGATAGAGACCTCACTGAAGCAAATGCACCTGAAAATAGGTAAAACTATTTATTAACTTTTTGAAGTACCTAAATATGTCCATATAATTGTTCATATCAACTATTATCAATTTGCAGAACCCAAAGACCATGGATAGTTGTTTTTGGTCATCGACCCATGTACTGTAGCAATTCAAATAATGATGATTGCACGAATCATCAGACTTTAAGTAGAGCAGGATTGCCATTTCTCAATTGTTTTGGCTTAGAAGATTTGTTTTTAAAGCACAAAGTAGATTTAGAAATATGGGCTCATGAGCATAGTTATGAAAGATTGTGGCCCATTTACAATTTTCAGGTGTATAATGGAAGCTTTGAGGAGCCATACTCAAACTACAAAGCACCGGTGCATATTATTACTGGTTCAGCAGGATGTAAAGAAGGACGAGAGAAATTCATTCCTAAAAAACCTGATTGGTCTGCATTCCGGAGCTCAGATTATGGATACACAAGAATGAAAGTGCACAACAAAACTCACATGTACATAGAACAAGTTTCTGATGATAAGGAAGGTGAAGTCATTGATCACGTCTGGTTAATCAAGAATCAAATATTTCCATCTTATGAAGCAAAATTGAAAGATTAAATATTGTCATCACTTACTCCAATTTTCTACTTCATCCATTTTTACTCTTGATGTTACCAACCATCGAATCTTGAAAATTATCACAAGTTCAACAATTGACTTGAATAATGCATGTTGGTTACAGATAAAAACGTTTTTGCAAAGGAAAATCAATTTGAAAAAAATATTATTTTGAATAATTTTATTTATAAATGTCATTTATAAAAGGCGATTTTGCGAGAGTATTTTCTAACAATTAACATACAAATTCTTGAATCGTAGCCATAGGACCTGTTAGCACAAGCGATTTTAAACAAGATTTTTTTTTTCTAAAATCTTAAGGTTAAAAAATATAGAGCAGTCTTAAAACTTCATGAAATCAATTATGTTCTCCAAATTCTCACATGTACCAATTTGATAATAATCTTCATTAAAGTTACACTTGCGAAACTAAGAAAAAAAAAACAAAAAAAAAAAAAAAAACGTTGAGTGTAATGTGAAAATATTGTACCTTGTATATAATATAATAAACTTATAACAACATTAAAAATTGTGATTAAATAAATTAATCATTGTTTAATTATAACAAAATAATTAATGTAACATTTCATTAACGGAATCACGCTCGTTACATTTTCGTGTATATGTGTATATGTATATACAAGTCCATTGATTAGAAAAAATTTCAAGACAACTCTGATGCTACAAAGCATAGCCCAGGGTAATTAATTATCCAATAAACTTGTCACTCTTAGGATATGTTTTAAAAAATATCTACTGATGGTGGTGTAAAGCATCACAGACCTATGAAAGGCAATTTTTCAATCAATTACCGCCCTTGATTAGATAATATCATTGAAAAATTTCAACCAAACTATATTAAATTAGGCTTCCTTACACATAACTTAAAATTTAACCATACAATTACAATTAATTCTTAATTATTAGTTAACTTTATTCGATACTTTACCCAAGTATTGGATTAAACACTAACCATACTAATAAACTTAACGAGAAATCATTTGTTACGAATTTAAAATAAACACTAGTAGATTCTGCGAAACGAAAAAAATTAAATACCTAAAAAACTGAAAACAGTAACTCGAGTTGACGCAATATAGATTAAAATTCAATTTTGGAAAATAGAAAATTCATACAGTAAGTATGTACTCGAATTCGGAGAAAAATAAGCACAAGTTTAACCCAACAGGCAGTTTCAATGCGACTTTCTAATTAGAAATCACGCAAGCCAATCATTACATTCTTGTAACGCCGTTGCATAAATAGTTAAAATGTACAGTACAAATTATCGATGATAGTTTCTCCTTCCGCTATCTGCATCAAGTTTGAATAACGTCAAACTGATTTATTTAATCATTCTTATAAAAACACCAGCCGAAACTGAATAACCGTCGTGTCAGTGGTTGATGGACACAATCGAGGAGGTAGAATGACTCTCCTGGTAGGAAAACTGAGGGAAATGTTCTTGTTCCTCAGCTATAGAATTGAGACCACTACCGCTGCCGAGGCAGCCTTGGTCTGGTGGGGTAAGTTCGACGCTTTCACCTGTGAACTCACTGTCAAAATAGCGCGTGTCCGTATCGGAAGTTACTTGAGGTTTGAATGGAGGTGGGATCTTTTTTTGGACCAAGTCAGTCCAGTTTATTGACGAGAAGAACGGGTGTTCCATTATTTCCTTGGCATCGTCTGGACCGCCACCCAATCTCCTATTTGGATCTTTTATCAGCAAACCTACATACATGATAAAGTTTCACCAAAGATTGTACAATTATGTCCCAGATAAACAATAAGTATTGCCAATACCAGAATATCTTGGCTTATAAGCTTACCTCCCAACATGTCCTTGGCCTCATTACTGATAGTTTTTGGAAATCTCACAGCTTCCAAGAGTATCAGTGTAAACAGTTTTTCATGATCTTTGTTGTAAAATGGAAGTCGGCCACACATCATTTCATACATTACCACTCCAACACCCCACCAATCTACAGCTCGTCCGTAATCGTTGTCTTCCAAAACCTCTGGAGCTAAATATTCTGGAGTTCCACAAAACGTTTTTGTTGTTCTCCCTTCATAACATTCGTACAATTACTTGACACGTTTGACATTGTAAAAAATTTAAGCAGTGAAGCAAAGTAAACATGACTTACCGTATGTTATGTCTTCCTTACAAAGACCGAAATCGGCAATTTTTATATGACCGTCTTTGTCAAGTAGTAAATTTTCGAGTTTAAGATCTCGATAAATAATACCTTGCGAATGTAAATATCCGAGCGCTGAAATAATTTCAGCTCCGTAAAATCTGGTGCGATCCTCACCAAAAACACGAGAACGGCTCAAGTGAAAAAAGAGTTCGCCACCATTAACATATTCCATAACAAAACATAGCCTGTCGGCCGTTTGAAAACTGTATTTCAAAGACTGAAAAGTACACGGATTAATAGATCTAATATATTAGTTGTTAAAAAAAAATGTTACTCACAATTAAAAACGGATGACAGGTGGTTCTTAACACTCTGTTTTCAGTTAACGTATGGGCTACTTCATCTTTACGAATAATGACATCCTTTTTAAGAATTTTTATGGCATATAAATGTCCTGTTGCCTTTTCTCTGCATAATATGACCTTTCCAAAAGTACCTTTGCCCAGAACTTTCAAAAACTCAAAATTTTCTAAGGTCTAAAAATTAAAAGACTAATTAAATTATCTTTACTGGATATTTATTCTTTCACCAAGCTAACGTGAAATTAAAAAAAAAAAATCAAGTTTTATACTTTTACTGTATAGATATATATGTATCAAATTTACTTACAACTTTTTTTTTGCCTGTGGATTTACTATTAGATGTTCCTTGAACACTGAATTTGGCAGATAATTCATCAAAACTTCCCCCGTCCGTGGAAATAACTCCTAGAGAATTACACGAATCAGATCTCCCACCAACTGACTCCATTTCCACATCCTCTGAGGAAGACGACTGTTGAATTTGAGGCAATTGTTGGTTTTGATCTTCATTGGCAAGCCTATCTGCCACATACCTTATGAAATAGAGTAAGTAATTATTAAATTATTAATGCTCTATGCTCAGTTTTCAGATGGTGAGTACAAATGTATAAAGACATACCTAATAGCTGTCATCCAATCTTCTCGTTCTTGTTCTGTATCGACGTGAAATGTTCTTTCTATAACTGTTGTCCATTGTAACCCTCTGATTACGAATGTGAAAGGCTTTGGTCTATCCACAGGCATTATTTGACATCCCCTCACAGTAAAATTGTTCAAAGGTTGAGCGGTTGTGGCCATTTCGTGGCCAGGTTTGGCCTTAAACCCAACTAATGTACCATCATCTCTTAAAACAAAGTAACGTGACCTCCAGTTTTTGATGTGTTCACCTAGAAATTCAATATTTGAAAAGATAAGGAATCTTTGAATAATTAGTATTGAGAATGACACAAGCAATGAGTAATGATTATTATGATTCATAAACTCTTAAGTTTACAATAAATAGATGATTGTATGCTCAGAAGAAAAGTATCATCTAAGTGCACACACATACAAAGTAATATAGATATATGTAAGTGTACAGGTGTATACTACACCAAACTCTCGACTTATTTGTCAAAAAGCTTTCTAATACAGTATACCTAGGTACTTAAAAACAAAACAAGCCTTGACAAAAGTTGTATAAGCTAAGGCTTTTGACATTGATGTACCATACTCTTGGATAGTAAGTAACAAAGCAAAAGGACAAATAGAATTGTTAACATTGATAAATGTAGAGAGTATTAAGTACTTGGATGAAAATTCACACTTAGCAAAGCATACCGCGTTTTTGAAGCCAGCCCTCTTTGACAACAGTCTCGTCGACGGTGGACGCCACGCTCATCGCCGCGTCTCCCATGCTGGCCATCCTGTCCGGTATAGGCTAGAGCTTGATCCATGCACCAACGACCAGCCAGGGCAGGTGTTTAACTGTTACTCTATATGAGTTTGTAAAAAAAAAAATGTATGATAGCAGTTTAGAAGAAACCTAGAAACACATCACGAGTTTAGATGACGATCAATCCGATTCAAGTAATGCGCACTCACTTGACTCACTCACGATTAATACCAGCGGTCAAAGTACGATGTACGATGTAGGTATACCATCGTGTATATAATTATATATTGCATACGCATACTATATATAGGTATACAATTCGTTGGATGTCTTGTCGTCTTGTGTCTTGTGCTAAATTTTGAAACATCCATTAACCAACATGAACCAACTGAACAAACTATACAAGGCAAGGTAGGTATATATATACCTGTAGGTATGTACATACGACGTATTCGCTCCGAGCCGATACAGAGGTTGCGCTCCCTCTAGCCGAAATCAGGCAAAATTTCTTGCATGTAAACAAACGGCTTAGAACATATACACATGCGTATAGCTGCTTGTGATTGGCTGAATAAGACATCAGGAGAGGATCGTCGTTCTCTCTCTAGCTTGCCAAGTGCCAAGTGCCAATCTGCCAATCACAAGCAGCTGTACGTATGTATATATGTTCTAAACCGTTTGTTTACATGCAAGAAATGTTGCCTGATTTTGGCTAGAGGGGGCGCAACCTCTACATCGGCTCGGAGCGAACACGCGCGTTACGCGTCGTGCACTACTAGCCTCAGCCTCAGCCTCAGTACTCTCGGTAGCTATTACGCTTGCAGGGAAAAACTACAACAACCCGATAAACGCCAGACATTCTGGTTATCTGGTTAAAGTTAAACGCGGGTGTTGGGGTAGGTATTCTGGTATTGTCAATTTTTCTTTTTCATGATGAAATTTTCATAATTTCATAAATTTCATCGTGTATTAGTGTATCTGCGCCATCTAGCGTTGCAGATCTCGCAAACTCGACAAACTGCAAGCGGGAAGCGGCGCAAGAAGCGCCTGTCTAACTATTCTAGGGGAACCGTCTTGAAAAAAACCCTAGATTCTGGCACGTTTTGTTGCCACTTTGTTGACAGCTCGCTAATTCGAAAATTTAAAAGAAAGACGTGACACCCCCTTACTCCCGTTACACAAAATTTATGTAATACACGCCAAAAAATAATGTTGACCATTACCAGATCATTGAATCACACGAAACTCAACGAATTGTATTATTAAATAAATCGATTTTGTGCTAGCCAACAGTTTAAATCTCCGATCACCAACATGCATATCCCTCATTCGTTTTACAAGTTATCGATTGCGCCATAACTAAAGCAAGAACGATATCAATTTCTCAGAAAAAACAAACATTAACAACCCCAACAGAAAAAGTTAGTGTGAAAAAACGTAGCAAACCGTAACTTTCTGTAATGTAATGTACAGTTTGGTTGGATTTCGGACCACAGTTACAGTTTGTTACGTTTTGTTACGTTTGATTATAGTCAACTACAGCCCAACACATTGTCTTACGATTCGTTACATTTTATTATAATTCTAAAAAGACACTTGAATCTCGTGAAAAAGCAACTGTAGTAAACTCTAATAAACTGTAAGGAAGTGTTGTCATCTGTAATGTTTTATAACAGCTTACAGTTTTTTGCAGTTTATTACACTTTTTTATATTTTATTATCATTGATAACTTTTAGACACATTTCCTTACATTTTCGAATAAAATTTGCCTTAAATGAAAAAAACTTGAGTAACTATTATGAAAAAGTATAAGTGTTACAGCATGTGGTAAATCATATCAAAACATAAAGAAAATGTAAAAAAACGTAACACAAACACAACATAAGCTTACATATGCGTTAAAGGCACACGCGTCATGAGCCAATCACATAGGTTCAAAAAAGGGGGGGGGCACTTCCATCGCCGCTAAGCGTTAGCTCCATGATTTTTCCCTCCGTGTGGACTGGTCGTGTTGTGTAGGTGTGTAAGTGTGTATTATATTATACACCCTTCGTCAATACAACGCAAAACGAGAACGAATCATGCAACCGACGACCAACAAGCGGTCGACCAACCGACCAACGACTTGTAGTCACGAGCATAATTCTGATACCTGATATACCCATCAAGTCGCACTCGCCCAGAACACCCGGGTACACTTCCCGCCATAACTGTCAACGTTTTTTTCGCGTTTGTCTTCGTCGTTATTGTTTGTTGTTGCTTAGCAGTGTTTAATTCAATGAAAACTGATGTTTTCCATTTGTAGCAAGACTGCATTCGCCGGTCGAGTTGTCGCAAGTGTCGAGGACAATGGAGCCAAGGATCTATTATCAGTGACGAAATAGTATGCTGTGAAAAAAAAGATTTTTTGCTATTGTGCTTATTCGAATGCAGGAGAGATACGCGAGTGAGATTTTCAGGAGAGATTGATCGCTCGAGTTCTTATTTATGTTCAAAAGGAGCCTGGACGAAAAAAAATTAACGTATACTTGCTGATTTGTTGCTGCTACTGCTCTATTAGGGGTAGTTTAGGGCTGCCCGATATAATCTTGGTAAGTTGGTAAATAAAGACTTCTTGCCTTGAAGAACAAAACTTTTTTATTTACTGTCGCTTTTTTTTGGTTGAAAACCGATATTGTTTACTAGTAGAAATTTTTCTTGTTAACCGGATGTTCATTCAAATATTGACTTTACTTTTTATTGTTGGCTGTAGACAATGACTACACCAAATCACAGACTTCGCAGGCCTGATGTCCCCAGAAGACGGTCAGCTAGACAAGCTCTGGCTATGATTCCTGACTCAACCAGTACAAATGTTTCGCCAGGTATAGTGAGAGACTCTCTTTTATCAATGTCTATGTGTTTAGAAACACTCTATCATTTGTTATGGTTTTCTTTTATAGTTACTGTAGAGCCGAATCCCATAATCAGAAGGTACAGTTCAGATTCATGGGGCTCTGCTCCAAGCCCCGATGAAATCGTAATTCAAAAAAGAGGTAGACGTAGGTCAATTGTTTGGTCACCAGATGCCAATTCCATCAAACGAGACAGCCTCTTCAGGTAGTGCAAGCTAATTTTTTTAACTTTGTATAAACCCAAGAAATAAAGACTTGGACTTGCAATGTCTTATTTTAGTTTTATCTTATTTCATTAATATGCAGAAGTGCAAAAGTTAAAAAGCACACAAAATACTGTGATATTAAGCAGAGACTATGTAAACTCATCGGATTTTTCTTTGATTTTCAGAGACCATACTCCAGTTCAAAGTCCATCGAAAAATCAGTCTCGCATTACGTTGAGAAGTACCCCTAAAAAGCGGCTTCATTTAGATGACAGTGATGATATTGAAATGGTTTCACCAGAAAAAAGGGAGAGACTCATAGGTATGAAACCATTTACTGGAAACTTGGCAAATGGATTGAGGGGCCTTAGTCATGAGCAGTTGGTTAAAATGATCATGGACTTGGTAGCAATGCAGGAAGACAAAGCATTGTCTCCAACTGACAATTTACGTGATATTGTAATGAAAAGAATGCCAGTAGCTGATATTCAACCGCTAAGAGAAAAATTAACTTTTCTGAGACAGAATGTTTATGCCAGTTTAGTTTCGTCAAATATTGACGAATCGGACTACAGTAGAGCTTACGTTCATTTAGAAAATTTTCAGAAAGTTCTTAAAGAGCAGGGTTACAACTTGCTAGAATCTCAACACTGGACAGCTGTGATTCAGTACGTCTTTGCAGCTTGGACGACAACGAAAGAACTTCCAGAATGGAAAAATCAAGGAATGCATAGCACAACTCAAAAGTGTTACAAGCAATTGGTAGAATTTTGTATGCACGCTCTACAAAATGGAACTTTCTCCAAAGTAATGTTGAACGTTTATAGAGATAAGTGAGTATCTTGAGTACCCGTGAGTACCTTGCTTGACACACATTTAGAAACTTTTCTTAATTGTTTACTGTATACACATGTATCTTTTTTAGGCTCAGATCAATGGTGGATGACTACAGTGATATTAAAGTTTGTTTACAGTTTGTTAATAATGCGAATGTGTGACCCACGAAACGTTACCACTTAACTGAAACTTGCCATCGATACAAATATATTTATTTTTTAACATAATTATATATCTCATGTGATTTTTGACACTTTCAGGATATTGCTCTTTTATTATCAATGTCTCTCTAAATGTTAAGAATCACCTTCATAGTTATATTTTTTCAAGTTGTACGATTTTTGTTATTTCATTTAAATCATTGACAACTACATTATTGATGTGTATACTTTTGAAATGTAGTGTTTTTTTATGATTGACTTATATTGCTTGCCCATGTTTGTAATATGTTATTTAATTTATCACGTAAAATTAAGTTTATACTCGACGTGTCTTCCTACAGACATTTTTTGAGATTTTTGTAAACCTGAATCGATATAATTTTTATATTACATTTATGCAAAGAAATATTTAGAATAAAAAAAAAAAAAATTATCGTAATATTGTTTTTATCGTATGTTTATTGAATAGCTCGTTTAATATTATTCTTTTAAATTTATGCACAATAAAACCTCTTTTTTTATAATGAGTCAATAATAGCGGAAATCACTTTATCGAGTGAGATATCCATTGTCTCATTGTCTTTTGCGTTTTTACGGTCTTTATTTCCTTTTCCGCGTACAGTCAGAGTCTGACTCAAAGAACAGTCACTGACGACTGACTTGACATTACAGAGAACCAAGTCAACCAAGAGATAATAGAGGAGGAGACTCACTATAGGAACTAGGACTCTATCTAGGAGAGGAGAAAAGACAACTTTTATACTAACTGCAGTGTGTAGCGCGTCGATCGCGAATCGTGAGAATTTGGAACGACGCAGTTTAATGAGCGCGAAAGAATAGCTAAATGACATTAGTTTAATACGCAATTAAGTACATTGTGTTATACATCACGCAGTTAGGTATCGTTCGAGTGCTCACCAAACAAGCTTTCCATATCAGTTACTACGGCGTAGACTCGCCCGAGGTGAAACTCATCCTCACAAAGGATAAACAATAAAAAAAAACAAGTCACGTATATGCGTATACATAGCGCGTCGAGTGCACATCGCAGTTGAAGGTCAAAGTACCTATATAGGATATTATCATCCAGTGTGTGTGTAGCAAGTGCATTTATATCATATAAAACGAAAGGAGCCGCAGTTCGTAGCGGGCCAGCGCCCAGGAGCCTCCTCTTTTTTTGACGTTCACTGACATAAGCAGTCAATTTATACTTCTCTGTATCCGCGCCACTCTCGACCGCTATCCAGTATCCACTCTCTCTCTCTCTCTCTCTGTATACAAAAAAAAAAAAAGTCAAGAGAGACGGCCATTTATTTATCCATCGGTGTCTTAATATATATTATTTCGGGTGTGTGAGATATATACTTTGGAAAAATTATTAATAATGTTTGCGATCATGGATTGTATTCTGCTACAGCAGTCGATCTAATGTACGGATCATTATACCTATGTTTATTTGAATTTTGTGTGTTTTGTTAATTGTTCGCTCGGCGTCATTCGTCTCCACCGTTGTTCTTTGTGTGTTATCATCGGCTCTTTCTCCCTCATTCGCTCATTCCTTCGTGCGTACGTGTATGTGTGTGTATATAAGCACACTTTTCTCTCGTAAGAGTTCATTATACCTATATGTACTCGTTGCGGCGTCCTAGGATATATAGGTGGTGTGTGTATACAGTAGACTGGAGTTGTTGATACGTAACGGAGCTCTTACGCAGAGGCGACTCCGAAATTTCTTTGTGTCTGCATAATATTATCACCCGTGCCGGAGTGAGTGGCCCCCAGTTATTGAGAGTGTACTTACTTTAATTATAGATATATTTATTTAGGTACTCAAAGTACAAGTGCTAACGCAGCGAAGAGAAGAGCCTTGGCTGCGATTCAGTGGCCAAAAATAAAGTACATCAAGCATATACCGATATACCCCAAAGTGACGGACGGGTACAAGCCTGTGCGGGTGTGCGTGCGGATACGTGTGTGTGTGTGCAGTGTTGTGTGTTAGCCGAGTGCTAATTCAAAGTTTTAATCAACAAACAAAACTCTGCCAGACTCTGTGTGGTAGATTGTGTTTTCTTCATTGCGACGGGCAATAAATTTCCAAGTATTTATTATCATCGCTTGGCTTTGTTTTTGCCAAACACTCGATCCACTTGCCTTGTGATGTACCCTCAAGACAACGTTAAAGGAGCTACATTTGAGCATTCGATCAATTTTGTACATTCGAAAAGAAAAGGTATTTTCATACACAAAACGAGAATGAGTAAGGACCCCACGACATTGCAAAGTTGTCAGAGTTGTTATCTTCTTCGTCGCTATTGAATGAGCGTAAGGGCCATCACCCAATTGGAAAAAAGTTTTAAGCCAAGGATACCATCCAAGGCTATTGTTGTTGTTGTTTGCCCTCATTCACAAGCTGTACGTGAAATCGGAAGCAGTTGCAAAGCCTCCTGTCTAATACATTTTTTCCGTGTCCTGTGAGGAAAAAGTAGCAAACATGAAACTGTTGGAGAGTACGCGCTTCGAAGCGATCAACAATGCTTTGTCAATAACAACTGGTGACAGCAAAATCATTGGAAGGTAAGTACTTTGTTTTCAAAAAAATATATGTATATGTTCTTATCGTTTAATTTGTCCATTTTGTTGGCTTAAAAACAGGATTGAGAGCTATTCATGTAAAATGGCCGGAAACGATAAGCAGCTTTACAAGCGCTTTAATGCAGAGCAAGGAGTTTCTCCGCACGATTTTCAAGCATTATCTCCACCTCAAACATCTCTTGGTACATCACCAGCACAAAGTCACTACAGGTATGATTTTGTTTTTAATTGAAAAATTTTTTTTTATATATGAACAATATTGAAATGGCCAAAAATTACTTTTTTTTTTTTTTTTTTTTTTCATTCAAATTAATAATACGTCTGAATATTCTTTTAGCCGTAGTATTTCCGGTGATGAAGAAGGACCACTGTGTGATACAATAAGTCGAAAAACTTTGTTTTATTTGATTGCAACTCTGAATTCAGCATTTTCTCCGGATTACGATTTTTCCGATGCAAAAAGTCACGAGTTTAGCAAAGAGCCTAGTTTACAGTGGGTCATGAATGCTGTTGACAGCAATTTAAGCGCCACAGTGGGAGATCATTATCGTACCCTGCGAGCTGCGCTATGGGCTACCATTGAAGATGAAATATCCATGAATGAATGTGATATCTACAGGTAATACAACAAAACTGTTGATATCGAACAAAACTAATTCATGAATCTATCATCATAGTTACAATCCTGATTTGGCATCTGATCCATTCGGAGAAGACGGATGTTTGTGGTCATTTAATTATTTTTTTTACAATAAGAAGCTCAAAAGAATTGTTTTTTTCACCTGCAGAGCAATAAAGTAAGCTATAGATGAAAAGTTATTTCCTTTAACAATTTTTCGTGTAAAAAATTATAATGCGATTTATTTTGCAGCCCACTTTATGCACTAGATTCTGGTATTGGTAGTGATTTCCCTATGGATGAAGATGATGAAGATACTTATTAAGTAAAATAACAATATCGAAAATCGTCAAATTAATTGAATATTGAATTGCTCCATCATTCATAGTACTAGTTTATCAATGTATCATAAAATTAAATATTTTTCATTTTTTTCAAAAATGCCGGGAGAATCGAAAATTAGATTATATGTAAAAAAAAGACTAATATATAAATTTTGAAACTAGTACGAAAAAGTTTATTAAATTATATTAAATAATTACTGATGTAGATTTTTTTTAAATAACTTACGTGATATTGAATTTCAATGTTGTACAACTATTGGTTTTTTTTATAGCTAGACTAAGTATTGATCATAAGAATACTTACATTCGAAAATACGAAAGCTTCAGTTATAGATAGATAAAACTGAAAATTAGATTTAATATACCTGATCTCTAAATTATTCACTTTCTCATACTACTTTCGTGATAAATTGTTAAACTCAATAAATGTTTCAATCGACTTATTTGACTCTTATATCATTTGCCTTTTTCAATAACAGAAGGAAAATTATAAATTGTTAGTGACTGAAATATAAGTATAAGTAAATGAAAATATTGGAAATCATCAAAGTAAGAGGCTGTTTGTATGTAACAATATTTTATTTCATTACAATGTAAACTGTTTATTTAAGACATATGATTTTTAAAACATTTTAATCCACTATAACATAAAACAACAAAGTTACAAAAAAAATTGAAATATTCTTTTCTATTTTAATAATAAAAAATAACAATTACATTAAAAATTAAAAAAAAAAACATTCTTATCATGTATCATCCATTCAGTAAATTTTAAAGTCACAAAGTTACAACATTTACAAACAGTAGTGCGTTCTCAGATGTGTCTAGTGTTTATATTACTCGTAATGCAGTCAATCAGTGACCCTTTGAATTGAATGGCAATTACTTTATAATTTAATCACGTTAGCAAACGTATCATTGATCAAAAAGTAGTAAGACTTTCATTTCAATCGCACGGGTTTGGCCGAACGAGTTTTTTTTGGCACTTGTGATTTCATTAAACTAAAAATTAAATAATTTTCTAATGTAGTAAAAATGATAAAATCACGCTAAGTAAAAGGATCTTTAAAAAATACTGTATGTTTACATAAATCAATACCGCGTAATCTATTCTTAAAATGAATTCCTCATAGATATTGCAGTAGCATGCATGAATGGGGTACTAAAATATTTTTATTTTATTTCATCAACATTATGGTTTTTTATATAAAAATATATTTGTACACACTTCTGAACTATTATCCGAAAATGTTGATATTTTTTTAGACTTCAGCGTGTGTACTCTGTATTACTATTTTGGTTATATAGGTAAGTATAACGATTAACATTTATACTAAAGATTACATAGGCGTAAAAATACGTAAAAAAAACTTTTTATTAAATTTGAACTTAAATTTAATGTATAAAAACACTATGAATAAGTTATCAGTGGGTTTATTCCCTTATACATTGCACACAATGCACGTAAATAATGTGAAATATATGAGAAAAATGTATAAAATGTAATTCATGCATGAAAATTTAAATAACGTTTATCGAAGTACATGTTGCTAATTATGATGGTGTATAAAATTCAAATGAAGTATGATGAATTGTGAATGACATGGATCATAATTAAATTGAACAATATTATAGAATTGTGGAAATACTCGCATTACGATACTTGAAAAATTTTATTTGGTACAAGAGGCGCGAGCTTTAATCATGTTTATTTAAGGGCACGGAATTTTACGTGAAGGACGCGAAACCTTTTATAAAGGTATTATTTAGAGACCCAAATAGTGAGCGATACATTAATACTTGTAGTAATAAATTAATACTTGGTAATTTTATTCATTGTATTGGAAACGAATTTTTTCTAAAAACACGATTAATCGACTATATACACATTTCATACATTTTTTGTAAAAATCGAGCAATTTTTTACGTACATGTTTAACATGTTGAAAAGAAAATTTTTTAAATTGTAAATTACATACCCATTAACACTTCAGTGTTTATAAGTGGCAATACTAGGCGATTGATACATACACATATACGCATCGCACAAAAGTCTTTTTGCGTGTTCAGGAAGTAAGCGGTCGTCACTTACAGTGGACAAATGTTTCGCTCCTTCTTCGCTCAACCAATATGGAAGGTTTGGAAAAGCCACCACTTCGGGAACATTGTAACCGTCTTGTTCACCTATTAACGAGGTAGACGGTTAATTTCAATCAAGATGGTTTATCATTATTATGCAGTATAAAATATTCATGATTGTGAGCATGTAATAAAACTTGGGCTTACCAATCCTGTCTGCCATCGAGTCGAAGAAACACCATTCGGCGTCAGAACCAGGAGCGCATTTGACAAACGATACGTAATGGGATGTTTCGATGCAAACAACTGCCAATAGTTCTAAATACAATCTTGGCACTGGTTGATGTTCACTCAAAAAATTATACTCAGGTGGCACGACGATGTTTTTAGGCTTATGGTTATTTCTCTTTTCATGTTTGTGTACCTAAAACGTACACACATTTTTACAATGTATAAGAGACGTGACAATAGGTATGTGGAATTTTAATGTTTCTGACGAAAGTACCCTATCAAGGCATTCTCTGCAGTATGCTGTGCTTTCTAAACCTTCACCACGTTGTCCGTAACACTCTTTACATTCGAATTTCGCCAATTTACCGCACACGGTGCATTGCCTGGGAGCTATAATCACATAATAAAAATTTTTATGAAAATTCTATACAATAGTGTTTATTAAAAGAATTGTTTATCGTGTTAGCTACATAATTGTTGTCAATGGGTACTTACAATTTTCAATTATATCTGTTACATCTAGCAATAATGTCGGTTGTATTTTAGAATACATTTTAAATGCCTTTCCAAAGCGTGGCATTTGTATTATAAAACACGAAGGTACCTTTTTCAATTTAATGTCACTAGTTAAGAAACTTTGCTCAAGCAGTTGTTGCACCGTAGGTAAGACGAGGCGTTCATCTTTTTCAACAAAAAGTTGATAATGATACGCATCTTGTCCTGAACTTAACAACAAAAATGGCTCGGCATTTAAAGTTTGTGCAACTAGAGAAGTCAGGAATTCTTCTGGGTCTAAAGAGAAGAAAAAAAAAAGTTAATTCTCAATTATATTCGTGAGTTCGAGCTTCCAAGTTTTCTGACCTTTTTCTTCGCTTGTTAACCCAGAAATGGAAGACGATCTTTCGAGCAGAGTTCTCAATTTCATAACATGATCAGCTCCAACATACAATTCTCTCCTCAAAGGGTTAACTATTTCTTCTCGTAAAACTTTTTGAACTTCAGTATACTCGGAACAGTCTTTTTCATTCGGTGGCCTAAAAAAACATTGGCATTGATGAAAATGTTAATTTTAATTTAAATTAATTTAAATAATTTTACCTGGACAAAAGATTATCAAACACGCTAGTAAAGGCAAACATACTGAACAGTGTGGCATCTAAATAACAAGAGTTGTGGTGCCCTTGGATGCCACGGTTTTTACCACATATTTTTTCTAAATCTCTAATTCCAACGGATATGGGAGGTAATATGTCTCTCACAATTAAACTCTGAATTGGTTCAAAATCTTGTAAATAAGACTTATAATAACAGTTGCTGGCCTGCAAATATGACAAGTAGGTGACATATGTGAAAAGCTTAGTTACTCATTTTGTAACTTACTGCAACATCATATTGTCTACATTCAGATAAATCAGCAAACCAAGCCTTTTGTGGGCTGCATTGAAAATATCTAACATTTTGATAAGTCCCATCTGTAGCTGATGGATGAATATCGTCCTAACATTAGGATATTGATACATTAAAAATTTCAATCGGATAAAAATTAATTTTTTCATTTTTTGTACATACCAACTCAATAGCAGCCATAATTTTATTAGTATTATTGCCCTCGGGAGATCCAATCCAACGTATGACTCCATAATGAGTTTCACCATGTACAAGCACTTTTACACATGTATCAATCCTCAAATCATTGGTTTTAGGAAGTTGCTGATCAATTATAGGTGTCATGTCTAGCTCTTCATCTAAAAATTAATTGTTAAAAAAATCAAAACGTATGTATGAACGTATACGCGCACATATTAACTTAAACACAAGACTAAAAAATTGCTTGCTTATTTTACAAATTCCATTAGATGTGCGTGTAACATTGTGATCTACAAGTTGATAAAAAAAAGAAAAAAATTATAAAAAGTAGGTAAAAGAATTGCAAGCTACATGAATGATAAAATTACTTTTTTCACCAGAGTGTGAGTTATGTCTACTCCACTTATGTTCTAGCACAGAAACTGGTATATCTTGCAAAGATGTAGCCATTTTAGATAAATTTCAAGAATCGCCGAGACTTAAAGACTTTACTGGTTGCTTCAAGAGCATCCAAGTTGGCGTCTAATTTTAAATCCTCTCCCTCCCCGTCCCCTTAAGCTATTATTAACTCTTCCAAATCACAAGCAAGTTAAACTAATAAGCTCCCATTATTTTTCATAGTAAATCATTGAATTAAAAGAAAAAAAAAATTGATTTATTCAATTTACCTGAGTTTGAAAGAGGATCAAAATATTTTATATTTCTGTACGATTGTTTATTGTAATGCAGCTGATCGATGGAATTAGGCCTAGTCACCTTAATTACATTTGAAACATAATATTCTGGAGGCCTAGCAGACCGATTATTATTATCAGTATCAATAAGTGAGGAAAATTTATTTATTTGCAATGTATCTACATTTTCCTTACTCTTAGAAACATCTTTATTTTTAGTGGCAAATAAATTATCAGTCTTATTGGATTTTAACAAATCATTGGACATGAAATCTGTAAAAAAGAAAATAAAATGTTTTTTTATCTCAATCATAAAATTAACATAGAATATTGTTTATTGTAAAGGATAGTACATACTTTTTTCAAAGTTCCTGATATCGTCCATAGCTTTAGTTTGTCGTGTATTAATGTTACTAATAGTAGCAAACGTGCCTGATGAATGAACTGTGGGTAAATATTTTTGTACTATGGAACAAGGTCCAATGTTTGGATTGTCCTACATGAAAAAAATGGTATTTACGATACTTATATTTGCCGATAAAAAAGATATGTTTTTTTTTTTCAACAAATTTTAATTCACCTGAACTTCTAAGCCAAAGTAATACCCATCTCCATACTCTGGTACATGACCAATAAATTTTACAGTAGCCAAATGAGTACTAGGATTGTTTGATCCTTCACAGTACCAGACAGTACTATTTAATTCAAGTTTATCAACATTTTTGCAAAATTCTCCGTTACTTGCCAGTCTAAACCTTTCTTCCAAGCTTGAAACGGGAACTAAAAGATGCCAAATTAAAAACGAAACAGGAATAAGATCGATTGGATGACACTTCCACTCTGTTTTGTGCCAAATTGTTTCCATACTCTCACTGTACACTTGCACTGTTAATGCTTCCTTATTAATTACATCTCCAATGGCTTGTACAAGCATTCCAGGCTGCACTTTGCTAACATTCACGTTACAATTGCCCTTCAAACGAATCAAAAGTGTCTCTCTTTTTACCACGTAATATCTGATTTCTGGAATGCCTTGAATTTTTAGATTATTGAATTTACTCCAGTTTTCTTCCATTATCACCAATTATTCAGTTATAAACTGCTCAACAACAAAAATTAAAGTACAACAGAACAAATTTAAAAAAAAAACACTGAATGCCTTTTGTTGCAGGTCTCAGTCCTTGGCAGTTAATTTTTGTTTAAAACGTTTCTTGTGTACAACTGCAGAGTGACTGATGTGCATTATAATAATTATTAATTGAAGTCTTTGTAAAATCCATGCAATATACTTTTTGGTTTGTTCCGTTAGATGTACACAACACTTATTGAGTTATCCACTTGGTATGTAAACACCAGAAAATGTAAACAAATGTATCTAAACTTTAAATGCCAAAAAATATTGACTGTAACAGAGCAAAGCCCATCAATAACACACGCGTTCTATACGGTAGGTCTCCTCCCACGTACCACTTGCTAGAATTTACGTTGTCGTGGGAGTGTACAACCTGCATTGTATACAACAAACACGTATTAGTTGGTAACACTGCATATTACTTCTTTCCTTTTGTTATCAAAAAATGTTTCAAAGTTCTTTTCCAATGCCTAAATTGCCCCATTGCCGTACTATTTAAAGTAGTAGCATTAAATAGGAATAAAGCCTACTATAGTATTTTATACTTATTAGATTAATCGATTAATGGAAAAAAATTATATTTTCCTATATCTGTATAAAAATACACACCCGGAGTCCGGAGTCCGGAGTGGTCTCAAATTTCTCCCTAGATGTTAAAAATGCTTTTTCAATGGTTCGAGAGGGAGGATGTGGGTGTGGGGGACAATGTGAAAACAAATTGAAACCCTCTTTATCATAGTCCGATAAAACGCTACCCATATAAACTCTGTGTTTATTATTATTGTTAAGTTTGTCGAGCTTGGGATGGAGGAAGAGAGAGAGAGGCGTGGACAACTTGTAGATATAGATATAGTGGGACTAGTGTATTGGACACAGACTGGGCACTTGCAGGGGCAGTTGTTGGCAGTTTGGACACCCGCACAATGGGCAGTCATGAAGGCAATAAGTATTCTTGCAACTTGCTGAACTTGCAAGCTGCCTCGTTGAATTGAAATTGAGATGAGTTGATGATGTGGTGTGTGCGCGCGGTGTGGTAAGGAGAGAGAGGACCGATGTGACTGCCGTGAGAGAAGCTGCATATGAGAGAGTAAGAGATCGATCCCTTTAATTTAATTGAATTCGGTGAGCACCAGGCGCTGTCAGGTTGACTGATAACTTCTAAATACGCACATATATACTTTTCAGACTGTATAGACGGGGACGGAGGCGACGAAAGCGAGAGATAAGTAGTGAGGCAAGCGAGTGTAAACTTGTGTACTTTCCTTTCCTCGCACAGTACTTATACATTTTTTCAATTTACCTCGACTCCAAACCAAAGTATTACACTATATAATTATTATATGTGAGAGCCGCAACTGCTGTATACTTATAAACGTGAGGTGAGACGAGAGAAGAGCATAGCGCCGAATCGGACGATCAATAATTTATATTTGTTTAAAATAAAACGAGCCAACAGCCACGAGAGTGATGAGGATTATCGATTATTTCAGGAAGAAAATGTGCGCTTGCGGTGTGAGTACAAACATATAAACAAATACGAAGTGTAAAAGCCGCTTTCACCACTACTGCTATATACACCGCATTTTGGAGCACTGAATTCCGACGATATGAATGACAGCCGCCGTCAGCACTCGTTCCGGGAAGCTGCACACAGACCATCGACAACAGATGCGATGCACTTGCCGTCAGTGTCAGTAAGGTGAGTTTAATTATTGAGTCTGTTGAGTCGACGGAAACATTTGATATGATTAGGTATACATAGGTAGTGTATAAGTATTTACAGGCCTAGCTGTTATCTCGAAATGTCACCTCACTCTTTATTCTCAGTTATCTCGTTGTTCTTTTAACGAACCCACGAAATTTTACGAGTGTACATACCTACACACTTTTAATCGTTTTAGGTTAATACAGTAATTGCACATAGGTATGTATACGTATGTATGTACATCAGCTTAACATTTTCCTATGTGTACATTTTACCATCCCTTCCTGGTATTGGCATATTGGCAATCCAGTGCTATTACGCTAATGTGTTTAATTTACGTGTTCCGCTTATCACTGGCAATTTATTAATTTTTTGGTTGTGTTATCAAATGAATTTCATATAGTTGTGTATTATTTGCTGACACTGCCAGACTTATTTTTTTGTTCCATCTATTTTTTAAAATTTATTTATCAATATTACGTTGGATGGAAACTATGTACAAACGTTCTTTTACGAATTTTTATTGACACACTTATTTAATTTTAGCTACACACACTTATTTAATCACCAACATATGAAATGACACTTATAACTGCTTATCAATTTTTAACAAGTCGTCACATAATTAATCATTTGTTATATTTGTAGAGTTCTCTAGTGATTTAAGCATTGAAGTCACAAGTAGTATTGCGCACTTAGTTTATGTTAAATGCATCAGATGCTTATTTTTTTTAAAATGTTACCGAAACTTTAAAAGGTACGTATTTAAGAACTTTACATTTTTGCTCCAATTAGTAATGTATGTACTTAAAATAAAGTGTGTACTGCAATGACAGATATGGCAGACTCTGGTTTGGAAACGGGATCGATTTCTAGTCTTCAAGAAACCACATCAGGGAATTCGAGCATAAATTTAGATGGGACTAGTGATTCCTCTGTCATTTCGAAAAAATGCGATGAATTATTAGAAACTTCCGTGAATTCTTGCACAGATGGACATGCATTTTGCGAACCAGAATCCACTTCAGTGGATAAAGAAGGAATTGTTAATTATAAGTTTCATACCTCAAAAGATTTATTTTACAAGTCAAAAGATGATAGTAGCAAAGATAGTGAAACTCATTCTTATACGTCCACGTCATGTTTTAAACAACAAGGCTCTCCTTTGCCACAAATTCACGCTAATGGTGTAAAAGTTTGTGAAGATTCTTTTAATTCGGATAAAATAGCTTTTGGAACAAAAACAAGTATTCAGGTAAACAACTGCGGTACTGATTTCATTATGAATTTCAATTGGATAATAGATAGTATGTATTAATGTAAGTTATATCATATAGTGGCAGCACAATAATCTCAACGATTTGTCAACGAGCAGCAGTTGCAGCAACTACTTCTTCATTGATGCCTCCAGTCTTAATGACGAGGATGCGATAACGACCCCAACAACATCCGCAACAACAACAATAATATCAACGTTGACATCGACAAATAATCTTAGCAGGCATTTGCACAGCACATATGACAGTAAAAGTTGCAGCAACTCAACAGTTTGGTCGTGTAGCACGCAATTGCCAGATCCTGTTCACATAAAGACAAACACGACAAGAAAGAGCGATAATGCACTTCTCGGCGGTAATAACGATAATTATTCGGTACTTGGCTCTCGCAATGGAACGATGAGTCTGCAGAATGAGCCGGACTCTCTGCAGCATCCAACTGTATCCATTTATCCGGACTCTCTCGTTCCCAGCCAAGCCATTATCAAGTCACAAGACTGCTCGCAAAGTGTCGTGAGCAAAGAGTCTCTCGTGGTTGAAATTAAGGAGGCCGACAGCGGGGAAAGTGCTCTACACTCTCCGTGCCCCGACAACACAAAATCCAATGGCACGAGAGACGTCGATGACACAGCAACGATTGGCAACAAGCCTCGGACAGAGGAAACTTTGCCAGATAAAGGCTCCCAGGAGGTCTTGTCAGCACAGCAGGAACAAAAAAGGCCCAGTCTCATTAGGAGGAATACTTTTGAGCTCGATGCAAATGACGAGAGTTTGTCGAGTCTCAGACAAGAGTACGAGAGGCGCCAGGGCAAACTCGTCTTCCAGAGCTCCATCACCCAATACTCCCGACATCGTATCGACGGTGATACGTATTTTGACTATGCTGATCCAGCGCTTGGTCCTGCCAGCTTGCCTCCTGAATCTGTGCGTCCCCTTGCCGAATGTAATCGCCAGAAACCTATGGTTCGCAGTGCCAGCGATAAACAACTGCTGGAGCAATTACTACTTAAACAGCCCCAGCCTGTAAAGCAGGAGCCAACCGACTGCCCGTTCGCTAGTCTGCCCGTCAATATTAACGAGGAGCTCGGCACGGCCAACGCGATCGTCAGCAAGCTCAGACGAAACGAGGCCGCACCCATTGTATCCGGTGGCTCAAGCAGCTCGGATTTCCAGAAACCGAGTGAAAGCCCCGTGGTGCGCCGACGAACTGAGTCGACTCCCATAGTTTCGGGGGGATCTCGATTTCTGCCGGACTCGAGTCCCCGGAACAAACTCAGGAACAGCGCCAGTGCTCACTCTACGACCGCCTGGGTCGTTGACATGAGCGACTGTCAAAAAACCAATACTGGCAGCCGCAGCAATAGCAGCAGCGGTGGTAATAGCAGCAGCGACAGCAGCAGAAGTAGCAGACACGGGGAGAAACAGCGCTTGACTAGGGCGTGGTGTTCCGAGAAAGATGAGGACTCTAGCCGAGGTCAGCCCTCGAGTCTAGGCTACTTTGTCAACTTGGACGATCTGACGGGCCCGAGTGACCGGTCAAAACCCGTGGGCAACAAGCATCGTCGCCGACCGAGCGACGCCGCCAGTGAAAAGAGCTACTGCGAGTTCTTCGTCGACCTCTCGGATATGCAGAAGCCCCAACAGCAGCAGCAGCATCAAAAGCAAAAAGTGGCAGTCGGCACAGCTCTACCAGCTCACTCGGTGAGCGTTGAGTCAAGTCTGAGCGCTAGCGATGCCAAGAAAAACATGTTTTCTATGTTCATAGATCTGAACGAGCCCGTGGCCGGTGGTGTCAGTGGCTCGGGCAGATCAAACAGCTTTGGTAGCAAGTCGGGTGCCCTGACGAGTGACAAGGCTCGCAAAAAGCCACAGTGCCCAGAGGACTTGGACCACGTGGATAAAAAGCCCAAGTCCTCGGTGTTTATGTTTATCGAGTCGGACTCGCCGGTCGTGCGGCGGCGCACTTTCTCGAGTTCGCGGCCGGCTTTTAAAAGGCACTCCTGGAACATGGATAAGAGTAACGAGTCGAGCGTTACTGCGAGCCAACCAAGCCAGCAACAGCAGCAGCAGCAAATCACAACATCAAACTCTGGCTCGCAGCAAACTGTCCCAAAGAAACTGCACAAGCGAGCGCACAGTCTTTCGATCGATAGGCTTGGCAATGGCAGCTTTCCTCAACCGTTTGTCGAGGCAGTCAGCAAACCTGAGCCCAAACAGCAAGAGGAAGAGGAACAGCAGCGTCAGCAACAGCTAGACGTGGAATCTGAGTATGATTTGCGAGATACGCCACCAAATTCACACGTTGAAATTCTCAATCACGAGGAAGTGATGCTCAGCTTGAAGAGTCGCAATTACCAAGAGCTTGACGCTATACGAGAGCTTGGAGCTGACGAGGCCAGAAAGACGGCGGTCAGTCAACATGTTAACAATCAGGATGAGTGTGGCTCTGAGAGCTGCACCGAAACGCGCAAAAGCGAGACCTTCGACGTGAGCAGCAGTGCCAGTGGACCTTCTTCTACCAGTGACAATGCCAGTGATTTGAAAATGACGGATTTACTCGATGTCGTCGTGCAGCAACAAAAGTAAGCCAGTTTACCCACATATTTAATTTTTCAAAATTTGTTTAAAAAAATACAGTAATATCTTCATTTATGATGATTTTACTTTCAGATCTATAGCCAAGACAAATATACCAGTAGCTGTGCAACAAGATAACAAATCAAATTTACATGTAAACAACAACAAGATTGCTGCGAAATCTACAAACTCGAGAGCGATTCCAGTGGCTAATTTCGTTCGGCTCTCAGATTTGGATAACCGACCGAGTCTCAATAATTCGAATACATATTCGACAAGTACATCCAGCCGAGACAGCTCGCATCGCTTGAGCAATAACATAAGTACTGGAGCGCTGTTGTGGAACGAAAATAAATTGACCACGTCAACGAAAACGAGCGAACCGCTGTATAAAGCTCTTACTAAAAAATTTCCTTTGAATTTAAACGTTTCGCTCACGAAATCCGAAAACTTTGAAGATTTTGGTGGTGATGCTGATGCCGAGGCTATTATTTCTGAATCAGATTTGTCTAGTTTGCAAAGCAGCATGGGTCGATCTGGCCACGGTAATTTTTTCATTGATTTTTCATTATGTGACAAAAAAAAGTATATTCTATTAATAATCTGAGTGACGATATTATTCATTTGCTTAGGAAGCACAGAAGAGACGGAAACTTCAACAAGTTTCGCTTTGGCGAGCAAACCGTACAACAGACTTGGTGAGGATTTGCTCAGAATGTTTCTTGAAGAAATCAATCCCGATATTACGATCGATGTTGGGGGTAGACAAATCAGGGCTCATAAATGCATATTAAGCTCCCGATGTCAGTATTTTGCAGCAATATTGAGCGGAGGCTGGATTGAAAATTCCGGAAATATTATTTCTTTGCAGGGGTTAGTATATCCAAATTACTGAAATTAAATATTAACAACATTGACTAGTTTACAGTACTTTTAATATGTGTTTTAGTTACTCCTACAATGCAGTTCATTTTGCATTGCGTCACATATACAGTGGAGAAAGTTGTATACCAGATACTATTAGTATCGTAGAACTAGCTACTTTAGCCGATATGTTGTGTTTAGAAGGTTTGAAAGAAGTTATTGGACTTACTCTGAAAGTCAAGTACTGCCACTTGTTTCATAAGGTTATTTTTATTTTTCGTTTCATGTGAAAAACAAATTTTATACAATAAAGTCATGTTTTTTATTTTATTTTGTTTCACATTCAAAAATACTTACAACTTTATAGCCGTGCAATGGTTGTGCAGTCGGTGTGTTGGAATGCATGCCTCTGGCTGCTGCTTACGGCTTAGATGAAGTTTATAGAAAGTCTCTTAGATGGGTTACGCGTCATTTTGTAAGAATATGGCCGAGTAAAGAATTTGCAACTTTGCCCCGAGAATTGATGGACAAGTGTTACTTTCAACATATCGTCCACATGGTAAGTAGCGTCTCAAATACCAATGCAGAACAATGCATGTCGTGATTGAAAAGATAAAACATCTTGAATGTACTTGCAGTCTGTCGATAACGTACTACAAACTATAATGGACTGTGACAAGCTGCTGACGACTTTGCCAAACGTTAGATGGGCGGAACCGGTTTTCCGGCTGGTGTCAAACCTCGTAGACGCTTCCATGAAATACTTGACTGACAATTTTGCCAGTATACTCGGCAGTGACAGCTTCCAAAGCTTAGACAAGGAGCCAACGTGGAACATCAGCCGATTGGAGGATCATATTTTGGCGGCCGCCGAGCGCTTGCCTCCAGAACAGGCTTGCAAAACATACTCGCGACTCGATAAAATATTCATCTGCAGACAGGCTGATGACTTGCAGCGCATCAAACCCAAGTGGAGTCCGTTATTTGCAGACTTGATGGATAAAATCAAGAGCCATGTGGAAAAATGCTTAGTCCGAGATGCCGCGCGGGCTGCTAGAACCAATTCGTGGTTAAAAATGGACTTGGAGCTTCGTCGTCGTATTCAGGAGCTCGCTTGTCTCGTTATATTGCCTAACGAAGCGTCCACGAAGAGACCATCAAGGCATTCCAATTTTTTGAAGGTACAAACTTTGGTTCTCTAAAAGATACTAAAGAAAATAGATAAGATCTATTACATTTTTTATTGTTACATCCAAAGGAGCCAAAGGAACGTCAAGAGATAAGAACATTGTCGTCTAGTCAAACGCCACCAAATCGAAACTTTGACTTTCGTAAAATGAAAATGGCTATTTCGGAGCACAATGATAGAACACTTAAGCAAACACCTCTTCTTCAGACAAGGAAAATTATGAATAAGCCAAAAACCGATCCCTTGCAAAGGAAATTAAACAACGATAAGTCGGAAAATGACTTGACTGGCAGTTTTTCTCGGCCGAAATCATGGCCCAACAAAATCGAGGTAAAAACCACAAATTTCCTACTGGTTATCAATTTTCTTCAAAAAAAAAAAAAAAAAAAAACAATTATCTAAACTTGGTCAGCTTACCTTGTATGNAAAAAAAAAAAAAAAAAAAAAAAAAAAAAAACTCTTTGAGCGTTAAATTTCCGTGATTTCTATATTTATAGGTAAAGTCTCGATACCTTGAGCCAAGAATCAGAGTACAGCAAAGTGCAGAACCAGTCATGCCAGAGAAAAGTTTGAGTCAGCAAAGAAAGAAAATCATAATTTCGTCATCAGATTCGTCAAGGACCTCAAGTCCAGCTATGAGGCGTGCAGCATGCGAAAGAAAAATTCAATCAAAAATAACTAAGGTCCCTATTAAAAAAGATGGCAAAGCTCTTTCCTCGGATAGTCTTGCAGGTTCTGGTGGCCGTGTGATACCAAAAAAAGAAGTCGCAAGCAAAAGTCTCGGAATAACAAGACCAGAATCACCATCGTTAAAGGTAAAAGACGTCGAAGCTGGCTTGTCTATTGATTCCTTAGCTGAAACTAAAAGAAAGGCTCAGCAGCAACAACATCAACACTTGCTGAAGAAGACGACTAGCAAAATGGATACTTCGATGTCGACGGATAGTCTGATGACCGACATAACAACAACAATTACGACTCCAAGGTCCGTATCCACGAATAAGTCGTCTCCAATTTTGAGCAAAGCAACGGTCATGGGTCAAATACGAAACTATGATAAACTGAAAAAGTCACCACCGGTGCAACAAAGGTACAACTTAAGCAACAATAGCAACAACAACAACACTTTGTCATTACGCAGACCGACTCGATCCTTGGAAAATTCGACTGCAGCTAGCAGAAGTAGAGCAGCTGCTGTGGCTAATGCCTATCATGGCTCAATGAATTTGCGCAAGAGTCTTTTGGACGCTGCCAAAGCGCCTGACATTCCAAACAAAAATGTGAGTAGTCCATCCATGACCAGGACGACTTTACGTCAAAGCACGTTGTCAACGAGGTCGTCTTCATCGAGTTGTAATACCAGTGTGGCTTATGGCAAGTCTTCTGGCGACAAAGTCGAGGCTTCTTCAGGCAACTTAAATCAGCGCAATGGCGTTTCATCATCTAGTCCTGGAAGCAAGAGATCACCCAAGACAAATGTAAACTCAAGACTCAATAGATCCACAACGCTTATAACTAACAAACAAAAGACGAACAAGTTACAAGAAGAAAAGGTTGCAGCTTCAAAGAAGTTAAAATCTCAAACGGCTACGTGTGCTGTGGACCAAAATGGTCCCAAATTCCTAAACCAAAGTTCAAGGTCTGGTACGTTTTTGAAGGATGAACCGACGATTTTAAATAAATCAGATATAGAGACTGCTGCTATAGACGTTTAATTTTATTTAAGCTATTGCTATCAATACCATAGGTACTGCTGTTATTGCTACTGTCGTTGACACACTTATGTGTGAGCGTGTGTTACTGTATGGGTGAGGATGAATTTGTACATTGCTTTATTTGATCTCTTTTTATGGAATTTCGATTTTATTCCGTGTATGATAATATCTGATGAGCTAAGATATTGTTGCATATACATTTATAAGTCAACACCATATCGTAAATAGTTGACTATGAGGAGTTGCATAAGATCCGCATTTTTTCATAAAAATTTCATAGAGAATTTAAGCGTAAATATATTATATATATATAAACTTGTACATTTTATGAAATTACATACAGAATCCAGAATCTCTATTCATGCTATTACTCTTCTAAAGATAGTTGTAATTACAATCGAATATTGATATGCAATTATTGTTATTTGTATGTTAAAATAATTTTGTTCATGTTTTTTTTTTTGTTATTTATGTTATTTTTTGTGTATAAGATGGAAAAGATTTTTAAAAGTTTTGATTTTTGAAGTAAAAAATTTTGATGTAATAATTAATAGTATTGGTCGAATCATTGTTAAACTTGTATTGAGATTAAAAAATGCTGTTAATGAGAACTAAGAAGTAAACCATTGGTATATGAACACGTAAAAATTTACATATAATATATAATATACATATAAATTGATCTGTGGCTGTCGGAAAGATTCCAAGTTGTACTTTTTTGTAAAAGGGCAGATTAAGAGATAAGAAGAAAAATATTATGAAACGCGTATAAGCCTGGCTAATAGAAAATACTCAGAAGAGATGGAAATCCAAACCAAAAAAAACTAGACATAAATTACTTGAATAATCTAACGTAGGAACAAATTTTAATCAATCATATCAAACGTTTTCTTTTCAAATTTTTGAAGTATTTACTTTATTTTGTTATCGTATTCAGTTAGAAAAATTATTATAATTTATCGTTACCAAGTTTATCATTTATATACTGAAAAATCTGTTGATCTGACTTTTATAAAAAGTCCATATATTAAGTCCTTACATTTAATATTAAATTCATAAATTTATATTTTACAATGTAAATTTTTATGCAATATTTACATCTAGTCATATATTATGTGAATAAATATATTTTAAACATTTACTTTTATGTAATGTTAATAAATAATTTAAAACGGTGTTTAAAAAATGTAGCTTTTTAATTTTCAACTAACACATAAAACCTTACCTATTTTGTCAACATTAAACGATTGAACAAACATATTTGTTGAGTAGATTGCATTACGGAGTTAATTATCAAAAATCTAATAACGTTCCTCTTGTCTTTTTATTATCAGCTGTTGGAGGCGCCGCTGATTTTCGTTTGTTCATGCCTTTCCTCTCCAATTGTTTCTCAATAATTCTAGCATTGTTTGCGTAAGAATCTGCAACTTCTCTCTGAAAAAAAAGTTGGATTTGGTACATTTTTTGAAAAACAACTCAAAAGAAGGTCATAAAAAAAATTTGCATATTTTTAAAAGTATATATTACAGCTTCAATTTCATCCTCTTCTTCATCAATTGTTGAAACCGTAACAGAGCTGAATTTGCCCATATTTTTAGTATGTTTTGTAACCATAACTTTTTTCGGTTTTTCCAATTCTACTTGGTTGTAAATGTCAGTCATAGGGCCTTCTCCTGAACTTTTGACAACAGAACCTTTGACAATGAAAACAACGTTTGGTGTTTTTTTATGTTTATAATATAGGAGTAGTCCACACCTTCGAAAAAAAAAGGAAATATGTTAGAGCTTAGACCATTTTGGAGATGAACGTGGTAACTCAATGTTACAATAAAAATTGAGCATACTTTTTGCACTTTTGACGATATTGCTGTTCGATGCCTTGTGGTCGTTTCAAATAAACAATTTCGTCTTGCTCAGAGGTCATTTTGTGAGCATGTTTGCCAGCATCAATAATTCTCGCACCATCTCTTTTTCGTACAGGCAATTTTTCCAAGGCACAATCTGTGAAACAAGCAATGAAGGAGTTCTTGCTTGGTCATTGTTAAAATTAAAAAAAAAATTCAAAATAGATAAATAGTACCGTACCAAGAATGAGTGTCATTTGCCCACATATACAATAATAAGTGTGTAGAGGTTTTTCTTCGCTGTATTCCTCTTGATCTTTGGTATCAGAACATACAATGCTTCTTGAAACAACTTTCGGCATTTCGAATGAAAAGATTTACTTGAATCCGTAAAATGATATTCTGCTTTTATTTTGGAATCGCTAAAAAAATTAATTACGATGCTTACACTAACAATTAAGTAGATCTAGTGTACCACTAACTCTCTCCTTAGTATTTCTACACGTTTGTTGACATTACATGCATGAGGTAAACAGCATTCGATTATTCGATATATCTATATATATTAAATATCATATGGGTATGGTAGAAGATAAGGTAGAGAATTTCAAATTGATAATCGATATTGTCGGTGGCGGTAGTGTTAGCAGTTGATAAATGTCAATCACTGTACTGTCGGTAAAAATGTTTCGTCTACACCCAAAACAATATTCGACAATCGCATCGTGATCGTGATGACTGCACTGACGGTGACTTCGTGATATTGCGTCGTCTGGCATACCGTGCGTTCAGCGTGTATTATGCATAAACTGATGTATCATTAACTTCCAATTATTTAGTTATCATTTAATACTTATAAGTATACACCTTCGCAAATTTAGTGCACAAACATAATTCCTTGAAGCATCCATCAGTATCATGTATCCATAAGTAACATTCAAGTTGACAGTTGACGTGCCCATGCATATAATTATGTGTCGCGCGTCTTTAGTACATCATCGTCGTCCCCGTTCCTCCCGCGCGGACGGCGCGGATGCATCATTATCACCAATTCACCAAACCATCAAAGAGTGATATTGCCTATATATAGCTCACCGCTTTGCGCGCAGAGACAAAGAGAGAAAGAAGGAGATTGTTTCCAAACGCCGCCGCCACGTAGAATATTATTTGGATTGGTGATGCATGTTACACGCCTAGACACTTGGGTATATAGATAGTGATCGAGCATAGCGGCTGCCGGTTCGAGCTCTATATCAGCTTGCAATATTTCGAAACCTGTCTCGTCATTTCCTTCGTGTCTCCGTTCTTGATCATCCCCGATGCCGGAAGCTGGACTCGAGTCATACTCGCTGACACCGCCAGGCTGCCATGATGGCAGCTTCTACGTTGACTCTGAACCAGGAGCAAGTGAGTACCGCTACATGCATGTACTTAACATGCATTATATTAATTGCTTCTATCAGTGACAGTGGATTGTATTCATTGAGCATAATTACCTGACCTAACAATCTCTACATGCATTATGTTTACCTACTCAGCATTTAAGGACAAGTACACCAAAAACAATCATGATTTGTATTTTACTCCTCTTTTTATCTTGTAAACTTGCAAGGACTGTTATTCAGTACTGGTTATCATGATAGTGATAATAATAAACCCTTGTCGGCGTCTCTATTGTTTGTCATTCCCTTATATCAGCTTAAATGTACTGTATATAAGTATACATCCACGTAATCTCGGTGCTCAACTGCTCACTCATCCAAAATACACATGCAGCTGCAGTCAATAATAGTGTAGTTCCGTATAGTATGTATACCTACGTGCGTGCTCACCTACAGGCGAGACTGTGGGCACACACAATTTCATACACTCCTATAATGAGCGTGTAGTTCACTGTGTAGTGTGCAATGTTAGTATAATAGATACCTGTTGCTCCTTCCGACTTTTAGCTGCTTGTCACTTCTATTGGCTCATCATTGAGCCCCACTCGTTCGTTTTAGTGTCATTTACTGTAATCTTTGCTTACAGGCGACTAAAGAATTCATTGAAAGTGTGAACAAGTGTCGAGCTGGTCGAAGAGCAGGGCCTGTCTCTTGGCGGACAGCAGTTAAATTTCTGGCAGCTAGGAAATTTGAAGTTAATAGGGCACTGGCACTCTACGAACAGCATGAAGCTACAAGGAGAAGAGAAGGTTTAGCTGTAATGTATCCAACTCAAGAACCACTGTTTAGTGAACTAAGGACAGGAAAATTTACAGTTCTAGTATGTAATGAAAAATTGACGGAATTGTATGAAAATTTGTGAAAACTGGTTTGAACTTTGCATTTTACCTTTTTTCAGCCCACCCGAGACACAAATGGAGCAGCAATAGCAATATTCACTGCTCACCTGCACATTCCACAAAATACCAGCCACCAGACTACTCTACAGGTAATAAGATACATTTTAATAAAGCTTCGATGGATTATAGAGAAAAATACGATACGAAAGAAAAGAGAATGAAAAAAAAAAAAAAAATGACAACTGTTTTTGATTGTTTAAGGGCGTTGTTTATCAGCTTGATGCTGCACTTGAGAGCAAGGAAACACAGAAGCATGGTCTTGTATTTATTTACGACATGTCGGACAGCAAATATCAGAACTTCGATTACGAGTTGTCACAGAAAATTTTGAGCCTTTTAAAGGTAAGTTGAAAATAATGATTGCTTCGGAACAGCAAGTCTTTATTTCTAAAGAGCCTGATAACTAAACAATGTGCCACTCTTGGGCCCGATTTATCTACTTTCGTAAAAACATATTTCCAAAAATTATGCCCACTTAGAAAGTTATTTAAGCTGTAGTACTTACTGATAATTGATAAATCGAGCCTCCACGTTTTCACACTGAGTGTTTTGTGCGTGTGCGCGTTGCGTCTTCGCGGCTGACGCAGCTGCGCGCGCAACGCTGGCCGATTGATCGCCCTGGCCAATCGCCGCCACCGCTGGTGCTTGTTAACTGTTTGCTTCGGCGCTCTGATATTCTATTTCTACGTTGCCAAGCTCTGGTGGTTGCATTATCGATTGGCCTATACTGACAGTTACGCTAATACTCGCTCGCCAGCCGACGCTGTCCCCTGCAGCTCAGATTCGCGCTGGCATGGCCTAGTCAAGCAACTGGCAGCTGCTTCTTGCCGATGCTGTTGCCATTTATCCACCTCCTGTTGAACCTTATCTCTACAATTCTCACGTAGTTCACTTTCCAGGGAGGCTATCCGGCCAAGCTCAAAAAGGTGCTCATCGTCACGGCTCCACTTTGGTTCAAGGCGCCCTTCAAGATCCTGCGGCTGTTTGTGCGCGAAAAGCTGCGCGAGCGCGTCTTCACCGTCTCGATACCGCAGCTGACGCTGCACGTGCCACGAGAGTCGCTGCCACGGCGTCTAGGAGGTAGTTTAGAGGTGCATCATGAGGCCTGGCTCTTGCACTGCCTTAAGTCCATGACGAACCGAGCCGTAGCCGAGCCGGCTGAGCCACCGGTCCCCGCGGCTCCCACACTGCTATCACAGTCACAGCAGACGACACCACCGCAGAACCAGCAGCAGCAACCGTCGCCTGTAGCAGCCGTGTCAGCAGGAGAGCCACTCGTTTCTAGTGCCAACACCAATCCGCCCGAAAGCGAGCTCAGCAGTAGCAATGACGACGCACCCTCGCCACTGCAGCCACCCTCCTCTGCGAGCTCTGGCTTCAGTGACGACGACAGCTTGCACGGTGAGCTGGGCCTCCAAGCTCTTAGCATGGAGCAGCTGGTCGAGAGCACGTACACAAGGGGCCGAGCTGGACTCGTCGCCGAGTACGCGGAGATCAAGCAGCGCCCGCCCGATGGATCGTTCAACAATGCCAGGTATATCAAGCACCGTCGTCGTTATCTCATTAATTTGCTTTTCGTCTTTTAACTCTGTAATGCAACCCAAATTTTTTTTTTTTTTTTTTTTTTTTTTTTTTGCAGACTCAAGGCCAATCAGCACAAAAATAGGTACACCGACGTTCTCTGCTACGATCACAGCCGCGTATGCCTCTCTCAGCTAGAAAATGAAGTCACATCTGACTATATAAATGCTAATTTTGTCGACGGCTACAAGCAGAAGAATGCCTACATAAGCACGCAAGGCCCACTTCCCAAGACATGCGCTGACTTTTGGAGGATGCTTTGGGAACAGCAGATACTCGTCATAGTCATGACCACTAAGTGAGTTTCACTCAATGTTTAAACACTGGTTTATATTTATTTTTTCGTTTAAAATGTTCCACTAATAAATGCATTTATCGTAAAATATAACGAGAGCGATACCTATACTAAAAAAAAGTTTCAATTAAAAAGTACACAAACAATATTTTCGATTATTAAAACCAACTATGCATCAATTTAGGGTAGTGGAACGTGGAAAGACGAAATGCGCTCAGTATTGGGGTCCTGAAGTTGGTGATCAAGTATCTGCTGGTGGATTTACCATAACGACTCTTGAAGTTGACACCAATCCAGATTATACGATATCTAAGCTTCTTCTTACCAATAATAAGGTATTGTAACGGTGTTTTTTTTTTTTTTCTTTCATAAAAAAAAAAATCAAGTTTCAATGTTTATTTTAAAATGAGATACATTACTATGATCCGTAGACTGAGGAAACTAGAGAAATAAGTCACATGTTTTACACGGCCTGGCCAGATTATGGAGTGCCAGAGTCGGCCAAAGCGCTTTTGCAGTTCCTTACTTTAGTGCGACAGCAGCAAAATAAACTGTTGACCAGTCGAGGCGATACGTGGGCAGGCCATCCCAGAGGTCCCCCCATTGTTGTACACTGCAGTGCCGGTATTGGAAGAACAGGTATCTTTCTATCGAATATTTTTTTTTAAGATGCTGATGTAGTTCATTTTCGCAGAAATTTTATGCTCATATTCTATTTTACAGGCACGTTTTGTACATTGGATATATGTATATCTCGACTCGAGGACACGGGCACCGTCGATATTCGAGGTACAGTCGAGAGGATTCGAGCGCAGCGCGCCTACAGTATTCAAATGCCAGACCAATATGTATTTTGCCACCGAGCTCTCGCCGAGTACGCGCTCTCGCGAGGTATGTTAGGACCTCAATATCTTGCCATGTTACCACCGACGATTGAAGAAGATTCGGACTAGATCTTACATTGTCCATCTTGTCCTGTACACACCAGCTGCTAATCTACATTCAGGCATAGTCTTCTTTTTTCTCATTAATATTACATCCTCATTAGAGAAGTATTATTTCGATAGTTATCTATTATTAAATAGCAACTAGCTCCATCATCGTCATCATTATTATTACTTTAATCATGAAAAATTATAATATATTCAATCATTGTGCCTATTAGTATTCTTATACTTTTGATTTTATTTCACTCAGATTGATTTTTGTTTTCATTGATCAACAAAAAATGAAAAACTAAATTCTTTATAACGTACACCACTGTGTTCATAAAATCAAAATGTCAGACAATTTTTAAACAAATTTTCTTATCGTGGTATTTACACGTGCGTATATTTATAACAAAGAGAAGAAATTGCAAAGTTGATGCTTTCTCTTCGAAAAAATGATTTTTTATCACAGATCTTCATTTCAAAAAAGTCAATTGAATTGTAAATACAGCAATTTTTTTTCATACAATTTTTTAATACTCAAGTGAATTTTTGATTCAAAATTATTTTTTGTACTCTTTAGAATTTTATATAGATTATTCTGCTTTTACAATTTTCTTCTAAAGAAGAAAAAAATTCTCTAAAAATATACTTATCAAAGACTTTGGAAAACAGTTCACTTTTGATCGAAAATTGAACGAGTTGTAATAATTAAATTTTTCTACAATAGTTATGGAGATTCCTTTTAAAACTTTAAATAAGCCAGGATATGAATTTTTTATACTTTTCCATCCAAACCTAGAACTAATGATAATATATTCAACACCTTGGGAGCAAAGGTAGAGAATGTCTCAGATCTCGTGTATATTGTTACCTAAATCAAAGACGAGAGTGACCAACGTGACATCATAACTTGCTCTCGTAGTGTGCATAAGATTTATTTGATCTACCTGATGATAAATAGTACCATAATACCCGCAGTGCGGGAACTAAAGTACTACTGTGGTTCTGATTGGCAAAAAAAAAAAAAAAAATTCATTACTTGAACTACCTTGAGATATTTTCTAACAACAAAATCACAATTAGCTGATAAATATCTTGAGATGAACTAAAAATTTTATTTCAATACTTTAATCAAAGTGTCAAAACATTCCTTCAATGAATGTTAATCACCCTCATATAAAAATGATAACGGTATTCTTTACTAAATCTGAAAATACGTACAACGCATTCAATAAAAAGAGCATGTAAGATTTCTGACGTGCATTAAACGTAATGGTGACTCGTGAATTATAAATTTTCTTATTGTAAGATTATATTGCTTACTTACATATGAGAAAATCACATCATTACTCTAGTCTTTACTTCGGTTTTGAATTCAATTAATTTTAATTCAATATCTACAAATTATTTATTCTATTTAATCGTGCGTTATTAGACATGGTTTAACAATTTTCACTTGTAGTAAGGAAAAATAATCACTTTAATCATTCTTTAATTGTAATTATTTTGAATAAAATTATTAATATAGTGAAAAACAATGCAGAAATGGCATTGTTTGGCCTCAGCGTTTTACAGTTAGAAAAAAAAAACAAAAAAAAGAGTCAATTGTTCAACAAGAGAAAATGACTCGATAACTAAAAACATTAATTCTGGACAACGTGCCTGTGCCAATTATTATATTATTTTTAAAAACTAAAAATAAAAGATCTATTTATTTTTCTTAGATTTATTAGAATTGAAGTAACTGTAAATATATTTTACAATATTTATTACGAAAAGTTAACTAAAAAATAATTGGATTAAAAAAAAAAATAATAAAAAAATTACGACGAAAAGATATAATCTTACAATAAAAACTGTGGTAAACTTTTTAAACGATTTATTACCACCAATTTAACGATTAAATTGTTTGCAACGTATTTTCTGTCGGATATGAAATAAGTTTTTACAATCTTAAAGAAAAAAAGAAAAAAAACAAACATAAAATGAAATTGAAAACACGTTTTTTACAAATCGATGTACCTACCTATCTCGTAAATTAATATTTATTATTATAGCATACGAATCATGTGATTTAAGTATTAAATGCGCGCACTTGTACACATACACACACATACGCATATAAGTATTAAGTTGGTACAGAATGTCGTGTACCATAACGGGTATATTTTCGGCATGACGATTTTGATTTATGGATACGATGGATTATAATACAAGAGAAAATTAATTTATGCATACATAAACTAACGCAGTGCGCTCGGCAACTCGGACACGCGAATTTAATCATGAGTCTACCAGGAACGGGTTACTTCAACGAGATAACACCGATTAGACTTCATCAAAAGATGTATTTACCAAAAAAAAAATAATACAAAATGATGATTTAACGGAATAAGCCTGAAGATTAACCGTTTTACTTTGTTGTGAAAGGGACTGCAACGAAACGACGAGTTCGAGGCGTTCGATTGCAGAGCGCTTCAAAATACATGACCCCTTTTTTAACGGGTGAAGCAACAAACAATATGAAAAAAAAAAGAAGAAATTTGACAACACCAAGTGGAGAGTGGATTCTCTTTAAAAGGCTGCTGCTGCTGAAAAATGATACTTGCCAGCCAGGACTCGGGGCCGAGAAGGAGCCGCTTAACAAGCCGCAGCAACCAAACGGAGAAACCTCTCTCCACTTGAACTAATCAAATCTTAACAATCGTCATGAGGAAAATATATAATTGGCCAGAACCTAAGAGGACCTTAAGATGACTGTAAATTACAGAGCCTGTGAAGTATTCAATAGATAAGATCTTGGAATCATCTTAAATATCAAATCAATGATTTTCGAGCAAATGAAAAATTTCTTGTTTCGAGTAGTACTCGTGATTTTTAATTATTTCTTCAATATGTTTGTGGATTGTTTCATTAACAATTTCAACGTAGTTTCGAGATAAAATCATCCGTACAGATTTTTAAAGATTTTTTTCTTCTAATCAAAACATTCTGCAATTATTAGATTCCGGGATGCTTCCAAGACCATTTCGTAACGCCCCCCAAATCTATATCTATATATTGTAAATAAAATACGGATTTTGTTGTGATAAATGAATTCGAGCTTTCTGATTTTCTTTCGAATCTGTCCATGTATACAAAGTGTATGTCAAAAATGTAATGATTAATGTTGAAAAAAGGAAAGTAATACAAGAAAAAAAAAAAAAGAATACATTGTAATGTCAATTAGGTGAACGTCACATTTGTCAAAGAAATAATTTTGTGCTTGTTTTGTGCGTTATTTACGCAAAAATTCAGATGGATTTCCGGTCTCCAAAATAATTTTATTGGTTTGATTGCAAAACAGAAACATTAGTCTAGAAGAAAATGGTTATAAATGAAAAAGAAAAACAAAAAAGGCAAGCATAGGCGAATGTATCGTCAAAGTGCCTTTCTCAGACAAGAGCAGCTTTTTTTGCTCACCGATTTGCAACACATTTCGCTCCTAGCTGTACCTTAAGAACTTGAAAGTTCCTCAATATATATAGCAGTATCAAGCTTTAAAAAAAAAATAATAAAAAATAAATAAATAAAATACGCTAAACAAAATGCATAACAGTATAAAAGTAATTTTTCGCTTTCGATTCGTTTATTTTTAACCGACGCTCAAAAATAAAACTAATAAAAATAACAGATAATAAAAAAAATCTATGGAAAATATATTCATTAAATCATCAGCCGTCGTCCTATGGTTGGGTAAAGACGTGAATTTCGTCTATGTATCTCATAATATTCTCATACGCATATTAAATAAAAGTGTGTTCATGCGTTTGTGTATGTGTACACTCGTGCGTTCGTATATTTGTAATGTGCAAATTACTGCAAATATCTGCATGTACATATTAAATGCATGTGATGTACAGGTATAAAAATAATTACAATGTTTAGAAAAAATGCATTAAAAAAAAAAAAAATGTCAAATCAGTATATATGAGATAAAAAAGTGAAAAATACGAATTGTATATAGATATACATATATATATATATATATATAAAATTATTATCATGCACTGTATCTAATTAAATTGATTCTTAATAATACTAAAAAAGGATAAATGCTCATTGCTTCGAAACCCGCTCTCCCGTAGTGAACACAATTACAATGGAATTAAAACACATTATGGGATAAAAAAATATGGCACCAAATTTTCCGAATTATGTATAAAAAAAGTTGTTTTATTGTAGTTTCAAGTCACTTTACGAAAGTTTTATTTACAACAAATAAATAACAGAACACCTACAAAGAATTTCTACTTGACTGTTGTCATTCCACAAGTCGATCATGGATATCCTTTGCAACAACGATTCTAACTAACATACGTAAATGTCAACCCGCTAGAGAGCACTAGACTGTGTCGCAAGTGTGGTTTTCTTTTATTTACACAACAATTATTAAAATATTTTAAGAGAAACAACAATAACAGGAGTAACAACATCCATGTCGGATTTTCAGCCATTAAACAAAATATACGTCAGTGAGTGTAAATAACACAGTCATTGCAAAAGTGTTGTGTACACACCTCAAATGGGATTTAACTATTTCGAACTTTGAAAAATACAACATAAACCACTTTACAGAATATTGGATCGTTCAAATCGAGCCTTTGTACGCACGCAATTCGATATTACGTATAAATACGTTTACACACTTGGGACCACAAAAGTAACGAAAAATTATCAGTCAAATTGATTTGACGCGTACAGTCACTCAGCGACGTACGAGTTCAAAAGCTCCCGCACAGATCTCGTCATTTCACTTGAAAATATTGTACCACAAAAATAGTCATTTAACCACATAATACTTTTAGGCTACCTGAGCACCTGCAAATCAATATACAATATAAAATATATAATATGTATCACAATGATTGACGCAAGTCGCGCACAACTTGCCAAACATTTAACTTGTTTAACAGACCGAGATTTGTACTTGTGCATACGCACGTTAAATACGTATGTACATGTACCCTACATGATAACAAACAAAATGAAATGCAGTAACATGGTCCTCGTCAAGAAGTCCTGCAACAACGGCGATTTACAGTCGAGTTTTCAGTTCGAATCAACGGCTCCTCCTGCCAGTTTACTAGCGTAAAGGTTAATAGCCTGTAAAAACGATCATTTTTGTATAACACGTGAAAACAAAAGAGAATAAGCGTACTCGCTTACTGCTATACCTGGTATATCAAGGTGTATTGTTCTTTGGTCTGAACAGCGCCGGCTCGGTTTCTGCGGATCGTGTAGACGACCCTGGGCACGTCGACCGTCCGGGTGATCTCGTACTGCCTGATGACCAGGTCGAGGGCTATGAGGGTGCCGGTACGACCGGTGCCGGGGCTGCAGTGCACCAGTATGGGACTCGTGACGCCGCGCTGGAGCGCTCGAGCTTGCATGAGAACGTCTAGCAGTCCCGAGGCGTCTGACGGGACTCCGTTTGCGGGCCACAGGTACCAAAGGTGATATACGTCCCGGAACGTGTTGTTTTCCAAATTCTAACCGGGACACCAAGTTTACAAGCATTGACCGACAAAAATGAAAAATGAAAAATGAAAAAAAAAAAAAAAACACCAAATGTAAAAACATATACCTTCAGCCGCAGCGACGACACGGCGTACTTGTCCTTGGGTTCGCGCTTCTTGAGCGTCACCTGGTAATCCCCGAAGAGCCGATGGCAGTCGCTGACCTCGTGGGTTGGCACGTACTCGACGCACTTTTCCACGCCGTTCTCCTCCAGATCAGTCAGCATCAGCACCACCTTGACCTGCTGCTCCCAAATCATTCGCCAAAAGTCGCTGACCGTCCCTTCGGTCGGCGCCTGACTGGCTATGTAATACTTGCTCGCGTTCTTCGGGCCCTGTACATCAAAGATACATCTATACTTGTCGCGCCATGTAATGTATATGCTTGTGTCAAACGAATCTCCGACCTGTACGTAGCTCGCGTTGATGTACTCGGTGAGGGGGTCGTTGTTGAGCCTCTGCAGGGGCACCCGAGTCTCCGGTAGCGGTATGACGTTAGCGTAGCGATTCTTCACCTCGGCGCCCGCGGGCAGCTCGTCTATGCTCGAGGAGACCTGCGGGATCCCGGAAAACTCTCTGGCGATGCCGCTCGGGTCGTTGCAGAAACTCGCCAACCCGGCAAAGTTGAGCGTGTGCGACGGTACCGCGCTCTGTACGTTCAGCATTTGGGCGCGTTAGTGCTTACACCTGTTGCGAAAACAATCGGTACACGTACTCACCGAGTCCTCAAAGTTGGGGTTGCCGTAGCTGCGGTTCGAGAACCTCAGGGCGGACTTGCCGCGCGTGACGCTGCTGTAGGCCGAGACGTTGTCGAGGTTGTACGCGTCCAGGGACACCGGACGACACCGTTCCCCGTAGTTAAAGTGGACTTGGCGCTTCCTCATTACGAACTGCGAACGAAATGGAAATTTAATCGAGCCGCCGCGACGACGATTGCTTTGGTTGTACAAAAAGGAAACGTGGCTCATAAGAGGGCAACTTGAGCATTCAACTCACGATTAATGCGGCGAGCAGCAGTAGGCAGACGAAGCCGGCGCAAGACCCAATTATTATTACCGCGATGTTGGTCCCGCCTCCTTTGGTGTCTTTGGTCCCGTCCAGTGCAAAGCTCTCGATCTGCCAACAAACGAACCGACCCAAATATGCGTATAATGTTTCTCTGCGCGAGATGGCTTGTTTGACATACTTACGGGCAACGGAAAGGTAACGTCTCCCTTATTGTAGAAACTCGGCAGTGCTTTGGTCAAGTTTTCGTTCAAATTGCCGCTCGCGTCGATTACGTAGACCAACAGGGACGCCGATGTTCCCTCCTCCGCCGATTTTGTCGAAAAATTCCTTGGACAGTGGTTTTCGTGAAACACTACTTGGTCGAGGGATATTCTACTGAAATCAAAAACGAGGAAACCACTTTTAAAAAAAAATATATATATATATATATATACATATTTATTCAGTCAAACAATTTTGTCATTGTTGTTGATCTTTCCTCCTTCAAAGCCACGGTCGGTTTAATTATTCCAAGTATATCGTTAGCATAATTTCAATGACACGCAATATAATGACAACAACGTAACGTCACGTCCGACCGTTTCGAGCGAAACGTGGCGTTTATTTTCACGTTGGATGATTAAAACGTGGGTACATATTATATGTGTGTGTATATATATATCAAGCGTTTGTCCAATTTCGGTACAGTCCCTAGCGATCTAGCACGTAATCGGATACGACGGCGGCTGATCTACAATATGAAAAAAAAAAAAAAAAAAAAAAAAAGAAACACCGATCATTTACAGGGGAGGGAATCAACGAATTCAATAGTCTTGTTTACTTGTCCTTGACGTTGTTGTTGACTAGTTTGACCAAAGATTCGCGGATGGAGCGCAGCTCCCTGCACACGCTGCTCCAATTGCCCTTGAAGACGATCTTGACGAGGAGAGTGACGTCCTTACCGGTCTGGTGGTCGTCGGTGGACGAGGTGCTCCTGGTAACGTAAGCCTCCGTCTCCGACGGAACCCTCGTTCCTTCGCTCGTCGCGGTTGTCAGCGGCACGTTTGCTGCAAAGAACCCCCCCCAAAATAAATATACAGTCAATTTTCGTCACCGCAAACAACGGTCCCATCGACTCTACGAGACCAAACAATTTTTTAAAACCACCGCCGCAAAGTGAAAAACATGTATGCTTTAGTTGCAAATTAGTATTACCCATGGTAGTGGTCGACGGAAGCGTCCTCAACGACGTCTCGGTGGCGATGGTGGTGGTGGTGGTAGCCGTGGACGTTTCCGTGGAGCTCGCAGCCGTGATTTCCGTCGCTGTGGTCACCACTGTTGACGTCGTGCTGGTCGCACTCTCGGAATTTGTCTGTAGATCCTCCGGCGGTGGTGGCACGCTCAGAGTCGTAATGTCCTGCATCCTCGTCGTCGCATCGGTAGTCGTGGTCGCCTCCTCGTCACTGTTGACGTGTCGTTGCGGTATCACCCATAAAACGCCGCTCGCTCGCCGCGTGAAACGAGAACAATGCACTCACGTGGATTCCACCGTGTCCGTTGTCGTGATCACCGTGGAGACGTCAGTATCCGTGGCGAGTGTGGATTCCGTGTTTGTCGTTGAGGCCGGCGTGTCGTCGGTGGCCGTGGTCAGGGTGGTGAGGCTGCTCGTCGCGGTGGTCGGCTCGTCGGGGTAATCCCCGACGGTGCTGGAAGTACCGCTCGACTCGTTGACGGACACCAGTAGGTTCCCGTTGACGTTGATGTTGATGTCGGACCCTAGCTCGCCGTCCCCTGCGCCGCGGTGTTTTCTTGACTCTCCGAGCGAAGTGGGCTCGGGAGCGGCAGGGTCCGGTGAGGCCAATTGCAGCTCGGCCGCTATGGACGGCGAGGTCGGGGTCGCCCCAGCCACCACAGCCAGGAACAGACCTGGTGGCCGATGGTTATAATGCTCGTGCATAAAATAAACGAGTTTCGATTTGCGGGTGTACTTACATGTCAGAAGCGCCAATTTCGCCCCCAATGATTTTTTTCGGCGTCTCCCGGCGTTCCTCTGGTCTTCTTTCATGATCTGCAAAAACACGATTGAGCGTCGATTGATGTGCGAGGGCATTACTTGATCAGGTTATTTTTACTGTCATATCACTCTCGATTGACTGTCGTTTTTCAGGTACGGCATGATCAACATATTATAGCAGTGTGGCTTTCATTTTCACTGAAGAAAAATATGAGTCACCACTTTTGATAAAAAAAAAAAAAAGTAATGTCACCCGGTCCGAGATCTACTTGTATTTAAACGTAATGGAGTTACGATGGGTTGAGCTCGAATTTGATGGGTAACTTCCTTTTCTTGTATACACTAAAATCTGGCGGTTTTACAATGACAGTGGGTGTCATCAGAGGGGAAACGCATTCACAGTACTTTTACTACCGAGCTCCGGAGAAGAAAAAAAAAAAGGTTGGTTTTTTTTAGCTGTAACTTTGCAAATTGACGTTTTACGCAAGAGTCTTTCTACAGAGAAAGTTACAGATGTTATCTGTATTGCAAAAATTACTGAAATTTTTGGATTTTTTTACATTTCCATTATTCACATTATGTCATGGGATTCCAGTCCAATAGTCCAGACAATGGACAAAGTTTTAAATAAACGAAGAAATCACTGTACATATACTAGAGCTAATTGTTCGACATAAACATTTTACGAATCATTTCAAGCTTTGATCTAGTAAAATTACTCATAAGCTGTCTTGTTTTATCAACGTACAAGCCCATTTGTTGAATTATTTTTATACACTACCCAAGTATTTTCTTCATTCTTGGATGTTTGTATCAGCTTATCTACCTGTTGAACGACATTATTGCTGATAATATTTTTAAAAAAAATTCATTTGTTGTATCGCCATCAGTCGAGGTACAACTTGTAAGATATCGGAATAAAAATATTTTTCCGAAGCGAATAAAAAACCGACACCGAAAAAATTCCAGAAAAAATATTGAAGAATGACAAGAAAAAAGGGTAAAACAGCAAAAACACAAAACCCAGTGAACGGATGATTATCTTTATTTGGTTTTTTGAAGGACTTCCTCCCGCGATACCGAGCGGACGAGGACTTTGTACAAGACCAATTGAATAATGACACTGGTGGGCTTCGCTCGCGCGAATTCTTCACCGTTTGAGTCCGCAGATCGACCCACGTATACATATTTTCGTACGAACATTTGAACGTATGGATGCAACTTGGCGTTAAAAGTAATTGGAGGCACTTTAATTAGGATTAAAAAAAAAAAAAAAAAAAAAAAGCCTTCGAACCAATGCGTAAAATAACAAGCAAGCACGCCTACATCCAACTACAGATAACGATTATCTACACGCCTACTGTATCGCTCGATTATACTCCTCGGTACGAATAATTTATATCCACGATTGTTCACCGCGAAAACGCAAAAAAAATCAATTTTATTTTCAACAAACAATTTCATTAATCAGCCTATAAGATATATGTATACGTATTATCTAAATAAGGAAAACGGATCGATTTCAACCCGATAGTCGATTGCCGTAATGTATCCGATTTCACGAAGTACAAACAAAAATCAACGTTTCGGGTGATGATTGAAATATACAATATTTTTTTTTTTTTTTTCAAGAAAGAAAAAAAAGAAAAGCCGTTTCGTCGGTTGTGCATCGACAATATAAAGAGAAACCCATCGGGAAACGGGCACATCAGTACAAAGCCAGGTACTTGAGCGTATACGCACACACACGCGCGCGTACATTTAGCGGGGGTAATGTAAAAAAGAAAGAAAAAAAAAAAAAAAAAACGAGCGCTCGCTATACGTACGAATCGCGCAATCAGATTAGCTTAATAATGCAAGAGGAAGAACAGATAGTACACTCGAATCACGTAGGTATACGTATAAATGTACAACCGAGCGCTAAGCAAAGATGTACAATGTGGGTGTATACGTACGTAATATATTATTATGTGCCCATCGTACGAAATGTATAAAGCAATAGCGAATTACAATTGCCGCGGTGTAACAAAAGCAACGAGAGGTACGATGAGGTCCGTAAATCGTGTGTCCGTGAGTCAAGTCAAGTGTACGTGTCGTACATAATATACTATATATTGAAAAATGTACCTCGTGAAAGAGAGTCCGTGTGTGGTGCACGAGGCAACAACAACATATTTATACGTACACAAAACCGAAGGCAACGCGAGGTGAAACTCTCGGTATAACACCTAACATGTGAAAGTCGAACCGTTGGTATAATACTTATACCTAAAATACTGTGTGTATCCGCGTTGGCGTGTAATTGTAAAAACAGAGTGAGATAAGTTATATACCTACTACTCACTGCGAGGAAATAACAACAGAGGAGGAGCTTAGACGATAACTGCCCCTCGGACCTAGTGAGATCTGCCGTAAGCCTTTTTTCGGAGCAGCGGCTATTACAGTTCCAGCGACGACGACAAAGACTCTGGCTATTTTATTAGCGGGCATAATTTTTCGGAGCACCCAAGTGTATGTATGTGCAACTCAAGGCGAACGACGATTCTCTGTACTGGCGATACTGGTGGCATTGGAACGGATTAGGGGGCTATTCGAGCCAAAAATCACACTGGTTCTTCGATTTGTCCCCGATTATAGGTATATTTTAACAACAATTGAACGAACGATCGATCGAGCTCCGTCACTTGGCTCGCCGAGCCATGCACTGAGACTACTGAGAGTCCACAGAGCCACCTTATCTCGCATCGAGTAGTATATTGTGTGACTCACGGCTCGTATATACATATATGTATGTGTGTATATCGACCTGGCCGTTTCTCTCGTTCCCTACTCTCTTGCGCTTACCGATTTGCCGCTGCTCGGTGCTGCCGCCAGGTAAGAAGCCTCCTCGCACCTGATGTGACCGACACACAATCGGCACGCGTTTCGATTATTGATATATACTGTGTTTTTACTTCCGCTCGGTGCCTGTACACGCCCCGCACGACCTCCGCCCTCGCCGATATCTATTTTTTTTTTTTTTCAACCGAGCACAAACTCCCTTGGGATGCCGATTTTTTTTCCCCCCTCTCACGTGCTTGTATACTTTGCTTTTCCTTGCAACGCATTTGTTTCATTGTTTGGTGGGTGGGTGTAGACGAGTGTACTTATACATGTACACCATCCTTACATTATGCACTGGGAATCGGGCCACTGACTCTCCCGCGCTTCCGTGCACTGTGTCCCACACTCTCTTTCCTTTTTGTGCGGCGGCTCTCTGCTCCTTTAACGAACCTTGACTGGGCTTGACTATGCAAATTAACGGGAGTTCACTGCAATTTGCGCGCAGCGAGTTAACGTGTACTACAAGAGGACTCTTTTTCTTTTTTCTTTTTTTTTTTCCATCGCGATACAGACAAGATTTGACGGTTTGTCGCTGTTGGTGTCGACGCCCCTTTGATTAAATGATCACTGAAGACAGTCTGGGTAAATTTGTGTGTAAATTAACTTGATACTTGAAGAAAATAGGTAATCGTGTTTCGGTGGACAATCTTGCACATGGTTTGTCCATATTTTTTCCATTCAAATTAAAATTAAAGAAAACTTTGAAAAATATGTTTTACAAAAGTATTTTATTCATTTAACTTTTACACCTTTTAGTATATTTAAATTCACACAAAAATATATGTATATATGTATATTCTTTTTCATTCATTTGATCGAACACTATGGTTATATTTTACCTATCGATGTACCACACAAATTCACTATATACGCGTACAAGGTTTTATTTTGTTAAACAATACCTGCATACACATACGCTTGCGTGTAAGAATATACAGTTCGCTAATACGAGACAATTAGTTTTCAGCTTCTTCTCCAAGTGACTACATTTGTTTCAATTATATATGGATCGATGATTTTTTTTTGTTTTTTTTTTTTTTCAACCATCGGCGTGCACACAATAATTTATTTACGCGTGCAACCAAAGCAAGAGGCGCATAATTTTTCACGCAATAACATGATATACTTTGACGTTACTTTCACACTAAAATTAATTTAAAATCAGAAACAACTTGATTGTCGTATAAAACGTGACGTTGATGAATTTTCCTTCCTTCTCCAATCCACGATGTAAATAGCCGCGGTGAGAGACGACGACTGTCACGAGTAAAAGGTCAAAACGGACGAGTGGTTTCCCCGAACCAGCAGGAATGTGGGCATGTCCCTCGTGAGCGCCTCTAGCCACGCCATGTACAGGGGCGCCGAAACGGCACCCTTTCGCGGCATAGGCAGTGTCCTGCAACCCCAACGACAACCATAAGCACTGCATACTTTGGGCGAGGATACATACATTCATATATATATATATATATATATTATATTGTGAAAAATCCACCGACATGACAATGAGATTGGCTCCCAGCGAGTGCTCCTGCAACAGCTCGCGCAAACGCAGGTGCCGGTTGGTCTTCTCCTTCATGGCCAATCTCTCGGACTCTTTGATCACGCTACCTGTACAATCGGGCCGTACTACGTATATTGACAATCATCGGGAGACAAGTTAACGCAACAAGGGGAGGAATAAAACTCGTGAATCGTACCCTCGTCGTACGCAGCCGCGCAATTGGCGTCGTTGTCTTGCATGAAATCGGCAACGAGGGACTCGAAGAAATCGGCCGTGTGCCTCAGCGCCGGCTTGGATATGCCCGATATGACCTTGAGCGCCGAGTAATCTATCCGGAATTTTGAGAGCAGACTCGCCATGCTGGATTGCAAAAAAAAAAAAAAAACAAACACCTACAATGTCATGACCCGCGTGAGCGGCAGTTACACGCGGTGACTTACTTTCTCTGCTCGTACTCTAGCTCGGAGTACCTGTTGGCCAAGGCGAAGACCCGGAGTTTGCAGCTCGACCAGTTCCTGCGCGTGCTTATTATGTAGGGCAGCAGTAGGGTGAGGCCACCGTCGTCGTACAGCCACCACACGTCTATGGTGCCTTTTTTCTGCTTCCTCTGGAATTGGCTTAGCTCGCTGATGATGGCGTGACTCGCCGGCACTCCGGCCCCGTACTTTTGCTGGCCGTTTCGCTCCTCTGTCTTGCCCGACGACGCGTTACCGCTCGGGCTCTCCTCGATGGCTTTCTCGCCCCTCCTGGGGGTGGGACTGCCCGGTATCGACACGTCCGAGACACTGCTGGCTGCAATTTATTCACACGAAACAATCAACGCTTGGGTACATGTGGATTTTCGTTATTACGTCAGTTGATATGAATCGGTATACCCTGGCTGAGCTGAGAAAAGCTGGGATTGGTCGCGAGCCTAGCCGACGAGTCCTTCTTGTGCGACTCCCCGAGCTCCTCCTCGGCGTTGTCATCCTCGAAATTCGGACTCGTTCTCAGCAGAGCGACCGCGATGTGCATGTCCAGGGATTTACTTGGACACAGAAGCAAATGGATCACGCGTGTGCACGTTTATTATACTTTACGTGGCGTTACATTGAGCACTTACTGCATGACGTTGAAGTACATGACCAACTCGTTCCTAGGACACGTGAGCCAGTCCTGTTTGTATCCCATGAGCAGGATGTTGGGGCGCATTTTCCCGAGGCCGCACGCTTGCATGAGCGAGGTGGCACCCTCTTGGAAGGTCGCGCCGTCGATGACCGAGTAGAAAGCCTTGATTTTGTTACTCCTCAGCCACGCGCTCGTTTTCATCAACATCACCGACTTGGTCTTGTGCGATATGGGACTCTGCGTGCAATGCGCAACACGTATTGTATATGTATATCGTACCTATAATATATAACATCGTATACACAAGTATTTTACCTCGAGGATGTGGCCGCACACGAGGAGGCTCTGGTTTTTCGTGATCTGGTGGGCAAAGTCGAGCAACGACGATCTCGAGTACGGCTTGCCCGTCAGCACCAGTATCTGGGGCCTGTAATTCTTCACGTGCTCTTCGACCCGGTCCAAGTGCTGGACCGACGTCAGGGCGTTGTTGTACGTCTGTGCTTGCGTGCTCGACCCCCAATTGACATCTGGTTCAAAGGGGAGGGGGGGGGGAGGGAGGAAAAAAAAAGAACAATCATCAATGGTCAAAACTACAATGTAAAAAAAATCTCATGTATATCTACCGGGTTTTCTGTAGGAGACCACCAAGTACAGGGCAAGGACGGCCGATAGCGTTATCAACGCGGTCCACCACGAAATCAGGAACATCACGGCTACGCACAATATCGCCCCCAATAGGCTCAGCCACATGTTGTAATACTGTGAATTTCAACGTGAGTATCGTACACAATTTAAAATTGTGGTCTGGATAAACATAATACCTTGAAGGTCGGTCGCCAGCCAATGGGTTTGGTGAACGACGCGTGGAAAGTACTGAAATTGACGAGGGTGTAGGCGGCCAGGAAGAAGTTGGAGATGAGGGGCGCGATGGCGTTCAATTCACCTACATAGAGAGTAAAATCGAGAGTTGGTTGCAAAAAAATGTCTTCAAAAGAATCAAACGCGTTGTTGGCTCACCTATGAGAATAAAACCAACGGCGATGACGAAGGCGAGGAGGTAGCCCCTGACTGGCTCCTTGCCCTCCTCGCCGCTGAACCAGCTGACTCCAGGGTAGAGTTTGTCCATGCACAGGGCCTGGAAAACCTTTGGCGCCGAGACCAGGGACGCCAGGGCGCTAGACAAGGTCGCGGCGAAGCAGCCCGCGTTGATGAACGGCCCGAACGCTGCCACCAGCTCAATCACCTGTACGCATCACCGCGTTGGCACAAAACGAGTTTGGACGGAGGGAGACGCGCAACATACCTGAAAGCTGTTCTGGGTGCCGTAGGCGCATGATCTGGTGGAGGTACAGTTGAAATCGGTACCGTAGATGCTCCAACTCCTCGCGGCTTGATCGTCCAGTGCCGTGCCGTTGGGGGATGGCATTTTAGCCGAGGATGCGTTGAAAGCGTCGTACAGGTCGGACACGTCGCCGCTCGCGTCACGCATCACCGTCGCCCCCACCATCACGGCCATCAGGAGGTAGGAACACGTCGTTATGAGGATGGCCAGGAGTGTGCCCTTGGGTATAGCTGACTGGGGATCCTGCACAATCAACGAAAACGACAACATTCACCACGTGAAACGAGAACCAAACGACTGAACGAACAAACCAAACAAAGAAAGGAACCTTCAGGTCTCCGGATATGTTAGCGCCGGCCAGTATACCGGTCGCGGCGGGGAAAAAAATGGCAAAAACGGAGAAAAAGTTGTGCATGGTCCCCTCGGTTCGCCTGTAGTCGGGCGGGAAATTCTCCTTGAGCAGATCGACTGTTGGACAATGGAACATTTGGTTTTTTACCGTCTGTACTGTATATACAAATATAATATATATTTATACTCACAGCTGTAACCCACGAAGCCCTTGGCCTTCTCGGTGTCATTTTTCGGTCCTAAAATTGTTCCGATGAAAAAGTCGGCTAGCGCCAAAAGCAGGATGACCAGGAGGACCAGTTGAGCCTTGGCCTCCCACTCCATGCCCACCATCACGATGAGAAGTAGGACCACGATGGTTACGACTCCTGTCAAAGATCGGCAATCGTTAACTCTCGAAACGAGATGTTGGTCAAATGGGTATGAGGTTGTCGCGTGACGGGGCGAGGGTGGAGGCCGTAAAAAAGAAAAATAGTACGCGCAGGTACTGCCAAGACGAACCGATTACCCGTATATCGCTACTGTCGCAGCCGAAGATGCAGGCGTCGTGGGTTTTGAGCAGATCGACCAGGCTCTCGCAGAAACCGACGATGTACATGGCGCAGGCCACGGCGTTGGCCAGGGAAAATATCAAGCCGATCGAGCCGCCGAACTCCGGGCCCAGGGACCTCGATATCATGTAGTACGTGCCACCTGCCACAATTTTTTTTTTTTTTTTTTAATGTTATTGTCGGCGCCAATTCACGGCGATGCTAGGAACCAAAACTCACCCCCTTTGATCAGGCCATTCGTGCTTATCGCCGACATGGAGAGCGACGTTATGGTCGTGACGACCGTCGTCGTGGAGATCAGCAGTATGGCTTCTCCTGGTGACCGAACAAACGGGGAAAAAAAAATCAATAATTTGTCGCTTCGTCATACTTCTCGACCCAATTCCCTTTTGGAGTTTGGTGAATGAAAAATTCATACCAACGCCGGTTTGAGCGACGACCCAGGAGAGCCGCAGAAACAGCATGACTCCCCATATGTTCAAGAGACATCTTATCAAAACCCCCTGGATCCATCCGAATTTCACACCAGTGGCCGTTTGCTTCGCCTGCGGGCCTGAGGAACTGCTCGCTCCGCCCACGTGGTATGCCGTGTTCTGAAAAGGAGTGTGGACACGATCACTATGATTGTAACTTTATTTATTTATTTATTTATTTATTTTTTTCTTTGCGCTACTATATTGATCACAAATGGGCTGGCGAATTGGACGATCCAACGCCGCAGTGGGTGTGCGCCTGTTTAACGAATTCGATCCGAACTCGGGAATTCGCGCCCCTGAGCTGTGCTCTATATTTAATTTCACGGAATCGCACATAGAAATATAGCTCAAAAATAAAGTGCATCAAGCTTTGTTTTTTTCTTTTTCTTTATCACTCGATTTTAACTGTATAGGTACTTATCTCGTTGTTTGCTCCAAAATCGGATAGAAAATCTGTTGTATAACGATTTTTATTGCTAACAACGACGATTATCAAGCTACAACGTTTGTCGACTCGTCTTTGGCATTTAAAAACTGGAAAACAGCAATTCCCGAATTAAGTCACTCAAAGTAGCATTGCGCAACATGATTCTCCTTACGTGCGCGAGAGGTGCATGGCAATAAGTAGGTGATGCGCGAGAACAATGTGACGGCGCGCTTACACATTATATATACCCACTCGGTGAAGAAAAGAAACGTGGCTGTATAGGCTACAATTAAAGGGTCATTTGGAGCATCGGTAAGCATTAGTCATTACCTACGATCTGGCATCAAAAACGACGAAGGAGAAGAGTAAGACGCGACAGATCAGCCCGAGCCCGATTGCAACGACTATACCGATCTGCCGATGCCATCACCCACATAAGTATATGTACACACTCTGCAGCGTGCACGCACTCTATATGTATAATATCCGTAATGGGTAGTATATATATGAAACACACAAACGTCCGTTTGCAGCCGTGCCCTTATTGAATAACTAATTGACAATTAAAGCGGCCGCGCTGCTGTGACCCTGTAGTAATGAAAAATGAAGGAAAAGGAAAAAAAAAAAAAAAAAAAAAAAAAAAAAAAAAAAAA